AAATTCACTGTGACAAGTTTGTGAAGGCTGAAGATAAAGAAAATGTGTGTCTGAGTGCATACGACCATAACTTTTTAATTTGTGTATTAAGAGATTAGTTTATCCTAACACTGCTGTTTATGATAAGCAAATTATTATTAGAGCTGGTATCGAAATACTATGATAATGAAATTAAAAAGAGAGCAAAAAATTTTCACAGTGAATAAAGTTTGACATGAAAGACATTTTTGGGATGAAAAATATTTAGCAAAAAGTATTATAAATATGTTTATGCCAGAATGGAACGGAGGACATCTATGGTTATGTACATGTGCGTGCATTATATATGTGTATACGCGCATCAATTGATCTACAATTACTTTCAATATAACTAAAACTAGGAATATTTATGACATCAGCATTATTCATAATTGCAATTCTGCTTACGATGTTGCAATGCCATCTATGGTTCGTTATATCCGTTGTCCTGACTGTTCATCATTATAATCCTTGAGTGAATTTTTGAATTTGTTTTAAGTAAATATTGCTGCAGGAATTAATATGATGATAACTTGATTATATTTTCTGCTATTTAATTTACTGACAAAACAGTGCAGAGTAAAATCATTCCAATTTATTCGTAAGCTTATGTATAGACAATTGACGAAGCTAATAGACGATAGTATGAGTATTTATATTAATATTATTATGGTATTAATATAACGTTAATATATCTTTAACTAAAAATATATACTAAAATGGTGTAAAAAACAAGGCAGAAAAGAACAACTATTAAAGGACTTAAAGGAAACTCCAGTTGCAATTGAGAACAATTTGCTATCAATTTCAGTACAATATTTTACGGCTTTATCTATAACACCAATACTTCCTGAGCACACATTTGAGTATCAGAAGTAATTCATAAAATTTTAGGAATCCCGGCACTTCTGTATTTCATAAAATTTATCAAAGTTTCTAGTAGAAATAATGCAGACAGCCTAATATTGAGCGCTTGATCGTAAAAGTAATAAGTATATAAAAAAGAAATGAAAACTTTAGACCGGCTATTGAATCCTGTTTCTTTCACCTCATTTTCCTCATTTCAAAACGTCGTATAAAATTTTTCATGAATGAGGAGTATTTTATACTGATGATAATTCAACTGGTAAAAATTTAAGCTCGAAAAAATTTTTGGTCTCAGCTTTTCATAACTTACCGACAGTAATGATCCTATATTTTGATATTTCAATGCTTCTTTTCACAATTACAATAAATTAAAGAAAATTAAGGTAATATAAAGGAACAATTTTCTGTGTATGCTGTCTGTTGTCTGTTGTCGTACGATTAACCGAAGTAAATTAATGTCCTTGTTTGAAGCGAGACGAATGCTAAGTTAGAGGAAAGGAGCCAAGTGATAGATGACATGGCTATTTCTTAGCTATTCATTCATGCTCAGTAAAAAGACTAAAATGAGCCCAATTATAATTCTTGGTTTTACACTCAAAAGTTCTGCCAATCATCGGAAATAGCATCATTTTACAATTCATGATATTTCTGTTTGCTTTCCTCATGCAGCATATAGAAGATGGCTACCTTTGACAGATCCGTAAGGCAAGCAGATAAATTGATTTCTCAAGAGAAAAAAACAGAAAAAGGCGAGAGAAAGGTTGACTTCACTTGGCTTAGCACTAGAGATCTATTGATTCCGTCTCTTACTTGAGTTAATTTTAGCCTGGGCTCTGTGTTAGGATGGTACCAGCCAAGGTTAGACCAAAGTGCTTTATCCCCTTTTATTTCTTTTCCTCATACATGCTCTTTTTTCAAGGCCCTCCATATTAAGAATACATTTATTTATATATTCATTCATCTCTGTCACTTTCTAAAGTTAATATGCCTACTCTTCTGCCTTCTATCCCTCCACTCTTTTCACTTTCTTAGCCATTAGTGTTAGCTAAAGTAATCAGAAATAAGACTAGACCAATTTACAATCAAAAAACTTTCCCTTCTAAAAGTTCAGCTAGGGCAAACATTTTGACTGGGCTACATGTTGAAGCAGCAAAACGAATAGAATTCTAATTAGCCAAGTCCTAGCCTCTTATTATTACATTCCATAGTTATCTTTTGATCTAGATTACTTCTGTGCCAATAAACATCGATTTTTATTGAGACAGGACTGCTATATCTATGCAACGCTCAAATGTCTGCTATCAGACAAGAAATATATCAGCTGAAGAAGGAAATAAAACTTGTTATCTAAAATCGATGCCAGCGTAGGCCTTTGGCTATTTCCTCTGGGCTCTTCGTACTATTCTATGCTTCTCCTCTCACGAATGAATGAACATGAATGGCTGAATGTTTATGTATGGATAAAAATGGAAATGTTTTCTGTTGCAAATGAAAATTTTCGTTTTTTTCAATCAGTCCAGTAGAACATACCATTTAAAGGCATTTTGAATGAAGTAAATCTGAACCTAAACTTTCGTAACTTGCGAACTTTTTTAAAATAACTTGCATTAAACAAATTAACACGAACATAAGAACACAGTGGAAAAAACAAAATTTTACCAGCCAACTTTTAAAGCAGGCTGACATAAATCGTTTAGCTCTGTACCAGTCATTAAAGCGCAATCAAATGACCGCTGAACTAATTTCAAAAGAATTGCTTAAACGACAAAGCAGGTAGTGGTTTCATCATTTGATCAAATGGAACTTATTTGGCATACTACATTCGTTCAGCTGTCATCGCCTCACTTATTTTAGATACAAAATATTACTTGAAAGATGTAATTTGAAGATCAACTGTGTCTGAAAGTTCAGATGTAATGTAATTTTTAGTTTATAATCTGATAAATAAATTGACTTAACAATGATGACTGAAAAAAATTCTACATTGATGAAAATATTGTTGCGCAGTTTTGCCGGCAGATTTCTGAACCTTTATGATCAAATGCTGATTGCACTACTAGTAAATGCATCACAAAATTCGCATTTAAATTTTAAATTTTAATGCAAAATGTATGTGCTGCTTTCCTAATCTTAGTTTGTATTATAATTGATCCATGGAGACAAGACCACTAATATTGAAGTAGATAAAATCTCAAAATAATTTGATCTTAGTTTCGAGATCAAATTTTGTATGTTACAGGCAAATTTGTACTAAAAACAGTTAATCATTACTGTTAGGCCACTTTTTTATCAGCGATAGTTCGAATGTTTACATTACTGATAAGTAGTGATAAAAAGATGACATTACTAATTGATTGTAATCAGCACTGCCATTTATGTTTTGAGCCATTTCCAAAAATAATAGCTATCACCTGATGAATCTTCCAAATTTGTTGATATATTTAGCAGGTCTGTTTTTATAAAAATTTACATTTATTGTCTGCTTTCATTTAATTGAAATTAGAAAAAATTCATCGATGCTCTTTAATTTTCATTTATCACTTCTTAGTCCTTTGCAACCGACAGGGTAATACTAAAATATTTTCATTTTTTCAAAATTATCAGTCCTTCCATAAACTTTCTGAACTTGTTAGAAATGCACTTATCTTTAAGTTCCATTTGTATGAGTAACTGGAGAATTCAAGCAATTTCAACTTAATTTTATTTGACAGTGAATGAACACACTGATTCCATTTTTTGCTGCGAACAACATAACAAGAATGATAATTATTTAGGTATCACTCTTGTATTGTGCAGTGCTGATAAAATTGGAAAGGATTATGTAGGGATGAAGAAGAAGCTTTTGGGAAATGACAACAAGAAGGAATTCAATATTAGGCAATTTATTCAGTTTTTCCACAGTATATTTTTCAAGAAAAATATACTAAAAGTTGATTCAATAATGAAACAATCAAATTATTCAAAAAATTTAATTCATTGTCTGCATATATTTTATTTGCTTTCATAATTGAAATATTGTTAAATACAATGGAATTAATTTCATTATTTGACTTCATAAACGAATTTCTTAGTGGATTACGACACTCTTGTTGGAAGATAGATTTGAAACTATATATTTCGTATTTTGCAAAATATTTAAGATTACTGAAGTACGAGTACAACTTTTGGTCTGAAACACGGATTTTCGAAGAAAAAACGAAAATAAGTGAGAGTGTTGTCGAAAGAATAAATGCGACATATTCGTTCGATGTTCTCCACTACGATTCCCGAGGCGATGTTTTAGGGCGATATCGAGTATTGATTTCTCACTTCATTTAAATTTGCTTCAAGCATTTAACCACTGGGATTTCAAAAGCTAATTTGTGAAGGAAATGTTAAAGCTACTATTTATTATAAATAAACTATTTATTAATTTATTTATTTACTCATTTCTAATCGTAGACATAAATTCTCCAAAAATATTTCAAAATAGCTTAATCATCATAATTTCTTACTTTATTAGAATGTTTTCGAACATGGAGTAAGTAGTGAAATATATTAAAATCGGATAATCTCCTTTGGAATTTTAATTAGATGATTTACAGTGTATAAAATTACTAAATTTTAGTAACAGTTGATAAATTTTAATAAAGTAATATATGATGCCCCGAAATGGCATATAAAAATGATATCAGCAGCAATAATTTTAATACTTAATCTGTATTTGCAAAAATCTATAATGCTGAACTCTGAAATTAGAATATGATACTCATATAATACTTTAAGTTGCCATAAAATCATTTGAAATTCCGCTCTTGCATTGCTCACATCATCAGCAATCTGCTTTTTCAATTATATTTGATAGATTAAAAATCCAAAATTTTCTCAGTCTAATTTCGCTTGATAGATTGATTGTGAGTGCTAATGAAAATGAGTAGTATAATTATAGATAATTTTAAACAATGTATTTTGAATAATTAATTCATTCAGTGCGAAAATCCAATACAAAGTGTCTACTATGTGTAATTATATCTTATATTTGTTCCACTTTATATACTTCATTTCACTGCACAAATAAGTAAAACAATCATTTTTTTTAGCTTTTGAAATGTCAAAATGGCCCATGTCAACAGAATATGCCAGATGTCTACGCTCATTTTGTTCAAGGTGGCAATAACCTAAAAAGTTTATATGCAACATCAATTGAAGACAGTGATCAGAAAATAAATTGGAACTTACTTTTCGCTATAATTTATTCTGTACTGAGTCCAGCAAAAAGTGGTGCTGGAGACAAGCAGAATGTCGTTAGTTGCTTTAACTTTTCCTCTTGTAGGAAAGTTGATTTCAGATCGATGTTATCAACTTTTATCACTTGATCGCTTCACTTCTGAATTTATTGTTTACATTGAATATTATTAAAATTTTATTATCAATCAAAATTTATCATTTACCCAGTCATATTTATAATATATATAATTCAGATGTTTTACAAAGTTTCTAAGAACTTACTGGGTTTGATTTTAAGTACTGTGTTAATAACAAATGAAAACTTTTATAAACTTAATATTATGATAATCACTGTTTAAATAAGCTTATATCAACTCAATCATTAAATGAACATTCTTCCCTATCTTCTTTTTACTGTTTTCGAAGATTTTTAAAAAGTTTCAAAATACAGATCACACCATATGGTTTATGTCATTATCACTTTTCAAAACCTCAAGATCAAATTTTTCGACGGCAAATAAGTGATTGTAAAATGGATGGCATTCGCAATTTCACGGCAATCGATGACCTCACGCGTTTTCACTATCAACAAAATATTGAATACATGTATGAAACTGTTTCATATGACTTATTAAAAATTGATGTAGGCAAAATTTTTGCACTAAATGCACAGAAATACTTCCCACTACTTTTATTTTAGTTATGAAAGTACTATTCTGCAAAAATAGGTGAATAAAAGAAAAAAAATGGAATGATTGAGTTATTTCACAAAACGTGGCGACAAAATTCACTGTCTTTGTCGAAAAACTCAGTGCTAATATTTTAAATTGTAGACAAAATACAAGAATTAGAGCGGATATTATCAAGATTATGGCTGAAGAAAAACTGTCTTTTACAAGTTCATTGATTCAAGATTGGAGTCTCATTATGGAAACACAGTAAGTTCTGCATATTTTCAAAAATGATTACACTTTTTCGTTTGTATTTCATGGCTAAAATACTAAGAATTATTTTCAAATCATTTTGGTTTTTAGCCATGAAATACTAACGTAGACACATATGTGAGTAAAACCTACAATGAAAGATATATTTTGGTATCTAAATGTTAGGAGCGAATCAAGAAATATAAGTATACTTTTTTGAAGATGAATAGCAAAGAAAAGAATTATTTGTAATATAGTACAAATTAATATTATTAGAATGAATTTTTCAATGAAATTGTCTTTTTTATCTAATTTTGGATTTAAATTTTATTTTGTGGTAGTTTCAAATTATATCATTTCATATGCTTGTTAAATTTTTTTTAGGGTAAATGCAGAATTAATAAATCGTATCAAGGCATCCAATAAATCCTTTTGTCCAATGGATATGTTGGCCGATGACTGCGCTCAGAAGATATTCAAAGCAAAGCTGCTAGGCAGAAATTGGAAGGAAATTGGACAAAATTTAAATTTAGGAGTGAAAAAAACGAAAACAGATGTCAGCTCTGCGTATTTCGTTTGAAAAATATTTATTCATATTTTCCAACTTATTAACTAATAAAAGATTAAATATTGTATAGGTAATACGCAAATCTGCCATTCAGATTAATAATCATAATGCGCAGTACTTATGAGATTATTTGAAGTCACGACATCGTAGACAAAGCGATCTTTTATTTTTTTCACCATCTAATAGCAAAAGTAGACTGAATCAATCGCAAAGCATAATGATTAGTAAACATCAATAAAAAAAATTAAAAATTAGTGGAGATGCTAGGAGTAAAAGAAAGTACTGTTGCAAGAGTCATACATAGATTTTAGTGAATGTAAATTACTTTGCATATCAAGGCGCAGAAAAAATTACGTGATTTTTTCAATAGATGTAATTAATATTTCAGCATTGAAATATTCTACAACTTTTTATTTACCTCATATTTTTTTTATGTCAAAAAGTTGAAGTGAGATTTATACTTCGTACATGGAATTTCGAAAAAAGATATTTGTTACTAGATGATGCAGTTAGTTATCAGTGAAGTAAGGAAAATAAATTTTCCAAAGATTGATAAAATATCCTTAAAAATTTTAAGTAAAAGATTATGAGACGTAATTTGCAAAAAAAGAGGGAGAAGAAATTCAATTTCAAAGTTGGTAATCATTTTTCTATCATTCGAAATTTGAAAATAAACGAAATTGTAAGCTATTTAAAAACATATAAAAGTGAACATTGTGTAGTATTCTGTTGATATTGCAGCTGAAATCAGTACTGATCAAAAGCAACAACAAGAGCAAACTACCTGAAGAAAGAGTTAATATTTTAATACCAATTTTTAATAGTATACTTTTCACGACAGCTGATGATTTATCTGATGCGATCAATGAATTCAGAAGTACTTCAATCATGTAAGACTTGATCACTCATGAGGGTGTCACTTTTTGATGCAAAATAGCAAGAGCATAAAAGGATTAAAGAAAGATTAGTTTTAGCATAGGATAATTTTGTTTGTAAGCACTTCTGAGCCTGATTCATTTATATTGCAAGTTTATTTTGCAGGCCGATATTTGTTGATGCCCTTGGATTAGTAGGAACAAAAACGGCGTATATTGTTGGCAAAAAAGCATTTACTTCAGTTGAATCGGAATTTCTAGATCGCTTCCTTCAAGCACTCTCTCAAACAACCAGAATCGATTTCGAGATTATCAGTGATTTAAAGGTTATTTTTTGAATCTTGTTCTCACTTTTCAAACTAATTGATGAAAGAAGAATAGTTACTTACTGTAATTATTGAAAATTAATCTCTTAAATAAATATTGTGTGCATGAAACTGCTAACCGCTACAAAATGTTGCATGCTTCAATTCCACAACTTTTACACTTGAAGTAACATTTGAAAAAATTATACAGATTTCTATCCCACAACTATCCTAATTCAAATTCAAAGATTATTAGTAATTGCAAAGCTTTCAGATATGGATGAAAAATACAAATGATGAACACGTCAAGAAACAAATTGGTTTCACGGTTGCTAATCTTTATCGTCGTTACTGTGAATCATCGAAAAGTCTTAAAAATGCTTGTGACAATGGAAAAAACAATGTGAGATTTTCAAAGTCAAATAATAATAATAACACATCCTTCATTTATTAGCTTTTTAAATTACTTCAGTCAACTTCGTAGTTATGCAAATTTGTTTAAGACGAATTAAATTCCCGAAAATTTGAGAAAAGAGCGAAAAACGTTTATTTTACAGGACGTGAATGAATTCACCGATTATGTCAGTGCACAGTGTAATGATAAGATTGATAACAGCCATTGTCATATAAATGCTTTGCAAATCTTTAGAAACTTGCCATTACCAACGTATGTTTGCTATTTCATATTTAAGCTTTCCAAAACATTTGCAATTTCACTGATTGATTTTTGGTGACATTTTAGCAAATCGATAAAGACTGCTTGAAGTCTTGCCAAAAAACGGATATTGTATTTTGAAAAATAAAAGAATATAGGATTTTAACAGCTGCACAAGAGCAATTCGTTGTTGAGGTGCTGTTGCATATGTTTATGATTCTAGTGTGTTGAAATATATGAAATTGGTATGATCTGGTAATTTCATATGAATAATTTTTTCAAAGATTGTTACCATATGCAAGCCAGTTTTTATGTGGCGCAAAAAATACAAAATTATTGCAAAAGGAAGCATTACGATTCCTTCAAGCTTTGGATGGAAAACACTTACACTGGAAGGTAATATGAATTTTGTAATTTATTTTTTGTCTTCATTTTAAAAAGTAATCAAAATGGAAAAAATTATACGAAATAAATAAAACTGCTTTTAGACAATTCATAAACTGTTGCGTATTTTCCGCAATACGTGTTCATTCAGTCAAACTGTAACAGATCAAACACTTGCAATAGAAATACTTTTAAATGCTTTGCCACATACGGAAATGATTGGAACTTATTTGCTTAGGTACGATTGGTTTGTGAATCATAAATTCTTCTTCTCCTAATATATAAAATGATTATTTATGAGTAAAAAACCTACAGCAAGCAATTTTACTGTACTAAGCATAATCAGCACTTTGAAAATGCAGTAAAATTTTATTGCATTTTCAGAATTCCTGTTTTATGCTGCAAATGTGGAATTACGTATAGTCAGATGAAAAACAAATTGCATAGATTTTAAAAGTTATTCAAAGCTGCCATTAGTTACAGATTTGCAAAATTCTTCACTCTGCTTGAACTTTTAAAACTGATAATATTAAAGTTCTCCTGAATTTATTGAACAAAAAAATTATTCACTTTTTGTAATTTACTTTTTTTCGCAAAAGCAATGAACTTATTTCTCACTTCTTCCTTCTAAATCTTGCTTATAGCTTAAACATTAATAAAATATGAGAATAATGCAAATTTTTTTGCATATATAGTTAAGTGGTAATAAGAATTTAACCAAAAGAAATTGCAAGAATCTGAGAATAAACGGAATAAAATGCTATTATTGTAGAATGGAAGAATTGTTTCCCACTGAGCAAGAAAAATGGACTTATTTTTATTCAAATGTTGCTCGACGACGACAGATGTCATCGACAGTTAGCCAATTTTATATTTTAATTTCGTGAATTAATTTGAAAATCTATAAGAGATACACATTGTGCAAATTACAGTTCAATGCATATTGGACAAAAATGCGCTCATTTCGAGTTTTTCGACCAAATTATGCTCATCGAAGTTTGAATGGTACTTCGGACGTGTCAGTCATAAATATTGAAGGTAAACGATGTATGATTATTAAGAAAAAGTACTTCCCCTATATTAAATACCTTCCCTAACTACTTTTTGGAACATTGAATAAATTTCAACGAGGCACAACAATCTTAGGAAAACATTTGTTTAAATGTTTAAGAAAAGACGAAAATGTTGTATTAACAAAAAAGGGAGAGTCATGTTGCTTGAATTCATTGTATTAGTACAAAGTCTTCCTTGGTACTAACTATCACATTGTTTGAAACAGCGATGCATTGCAGATGACCACATCTTGCGTTAACGTTTTGCAAACAAAAAATATTTATTTTGTTCTACGGAACAAAAAGATTATTTAATTTTACATTTTTTTAAATATTCTGATTTAGTTTTGCATTTTTTTAATTTTTTGATGCACAAACAGAAAAAATTTTTGGAAATCATTTTTTCATAGTTTAAAGCTAATTTTTCCTTAAACAAATAATTAATTTTGCTGAGAAAGTAATTTTCTCAGGCTTTGGTTCCAATAAAATATCAATATGGAATCGTAATGTTAATGATCAAGGTATTTTGTCTTGGAACGATATCTCAGTCTTTCTTACTTCGACGAAAAATCATCTTTTTTCAATTATGCAGGTTTAATCTTTTTAAAAATTTATCATGAAAAAAAAGTTTATTAGTACTTTCGCACTTTTTGAAAATTCCTTCCACAGAATCGACACGGAGTGCCAATTTTTTTCCTCTATCATCAAGAATTCAAGTAATTACTCAAGTAATTGCAAAACCATGCATTTATACAACTTAAGTAACTAACGCTAGCAACTTAAATTATATTACTTTTAGTTTTTACACAGTGCGAACATTCTTATGTATTCATTTTATCTATTTGATAAAATAATATAATTATGAAAATAACATGAGAAAAGTGAAGCAATTTTTGCAGATATTTGTTAGAACGAGTGGCTTGAAATCGCATTCGTTGGATTCTGATGACTACAATATCAGTAATGATCATGATGATACTGATAATGAAGATTTATTTGCAAGTGCACAGATAAGTTTCTTGAAAAATAATTTGGTGCCAGTGACGATTTTTGATGGATATAATGATTTGATCAGTATTGTTTGGAATGCTGATGGACAACTTCTGCCTCTCTTTGATGTATACTTTTTTAATATTGCCTTTGCTAATTTCATTTTCTCGCCGCACTCTGCAAAAAACAAAAACAAAAAATTACTACATTCAATTAGAATTAGATTAAACTAAGATGAATGATCCACATGAAGTGAATCAAGTTTTGATAATATACAAGAAAATACTATATAATCACTGTTGGTTAAAGATAAATCTTATTTCTCGTCAATATTATGGTTACGTCCCTTTGATAAGTGGATTATCAATAACTATTGATATTATGGGTACCATATCTGTAGCCACAATGGGTTCAGCCAAAGTCAGCTTTTGGAATAAAGATGCGAAGTTGGAAGTTGATACCAAGTATATCCTCTCTAAACTTAAATCTTACTAGTACTGAATTACATGAGATTTAAAAAAATGGCGATAATATATTTATCAATAGTGACAACTATGGATATTACAGTAATGTTAACAGTAGCGATAGCGAAAAAATAGCTTTTTACTATCATTTCGCTGAAATATACTGACATCTTACAGTTTATCAACCAAACTTGAGGGAAGTATTAGTTTATCATCTGATAACAATTTACTCCGAAAAGCTACTGCCACACACTCTGCGACTGGAACAGTGAGCGTTCGTTTTGACACGGATTTTCTAACAGTACCTCACATATTTTGTTATATTCTTTCTCAATCCTCATTCTTTACAAGGTATTTGTAATTTTTCTTGCAAACACTTAATGAAAATAACAACGCGTATTTCTGTACATATAGAAATGCAGTTTGTCGAGTTTGCAAAACTTCCATAACTCTTTAGCAGTTTTTTTATTCTAAAATAAAATAAAAAATTTTAGAATTTTCAATATTACGTTACGAAAAAAAAATAAAAAAGCGTAAACAAAACAAAATTTTAACAGTTTTTAGAACTAAAATGAAAGTTTTTGGGATTAAAATAATTTGACTAAAGAAAAAGTGGCAGATATCTTGGAAAATTGACAAATTTTTGTCTTTTTAAAAAATTCAATTTTCTTCGGTTTTTTTCATTCAGTAATGCCACAGATGCTCAATTTTCCTCAATTAATTAATAAGGAATAACTAGAAAGAAATAGATTAAAAAATTAAAAATTTTCAGGCATTCCTATGCTTATACCATGAGAACTGGGAAAGAACAACGTGTACAACGCGTAAGCAAGTTTCCTGGTTCATCTTTCCTACTAAATCAAAAAGGATACAGTCATTGTTCTTTGTTAAATAACCATCTTGTTTCTGAGTGAAAAATTTTTTCAATAAATGATTGATATCAGATAAATAATTTTATATACTCTTGCTACAATCTTTATTCAGAAGCACTATACAGTATGAAATGATTAAAAAATCACTATGGTTAATTTGTTCACGTACTATGTAAAATCGCGAGAAATACATATTGATGAATAATTCCAAAAAAAAAAAAGAAAATAATTTTGACTTAAATTTGATAAAGCTGTAATGTTCATTTTGAACTTCAGTGTTCGAAATGGGAAATACCAATTTCAAGTGCAAAAATTAAAGAAATTTTTTTTAGTTTTATTTAGATTGAACGTTCATTAGAACTGCAAATTAGATCAAATTTTTCACGCTTTTAGTGCATTATATCAGTAAAAAAATTTCCATCAAAACTATTGAATTTCACATGTTTGTGAGAAAAAAATGACTACATACTTTAAGTCATATTACTGATGGCAAAAAATTGATTTAGGAAAATGAGTAATCAAACTATCGTAAATCTATTGTTCTTTCTCACAAATAGTTTCGGAAATTTCAGTAATTGCAAAATTTTTTTGCCAATATTTTATCTTTGACAAAATAGTTGTCAGTAGTTTATTGAGATGGAATATATAAAAAATAAACAAAACAAAACTTGAAAATTCTATAATTTAGTTGCAGCATTAGGATAAAAAAGTATGCTGAGCAACATTGATCAAATGACTTCTTAATTTTCATAAAATCAGTTTAACTGACAAACTATGGAAGTAAACAACTTAACTACTGCTTTTTATCGTTCTTGCTCTAAATTACTGTAAAAATAAATCTTTCTTTTCATGCTTTATTTTCTTGAGAGACCCTTTGTAGACTTTTTTATGATGCAGACTAAATCTTGAAGTGAATACATAAAGTAAATTTTAGTGCCAAGAAAAAAAATTGACATATGCTACAAGCATTAATGCTGATATTATCATCAGCATCTTAACATCATTACTACCTCTTACAGACATATATTTTTAAGTAAATTTTGAAACCTTCACTTCTATGCTTCTGAGTGAGTACTCATATTACATGTACGATTTTTTATGTTTGACTGATATCAATATTATAATTTATGCAAAACTTTTTTTTTTTGATTTGGGAATGAAAAGGACTAATATAAATAATTGTTACGGATCCTTCTTTCCTGCAAGTACTATTGTTTACCGATTTTAATCGATTTCATGTAGTTCTATGAAATTTTTGAGCATCTGATTAAAAATTGCCTTGAGTTTATTCGCGAAATCTTCAGTCATCATTAATTTTTTTTTACTAGTCATGAACATTGCTAAGCATTTTTTACTGTTATTTAATTAATGTTGGCATTTAGTTCCTTATTATAAAAGAATGTAAGTTTATAGATAGAATACATTGAAATACCCTAACTAACATAAAAATGGTTATCGCATTGTAATGTATTCGAACTATAAACTTACATTTTTAAATTCCATAAATTATTTTTGAAAATATTGAAATCCAACTTATTACACCAGCACACCAAGTAGTTTAGTTTTTCCACTATTTAAAGTTATAGAAGTAAAAAAAATTAGAGTTCGAAAGATAGTTTAGTACTCTGATCATATTTGATTTTCAGTAGTTCTTACATTACACGAAAATTTGCATTTTATTTCATGAACTTTTTTTGTGTCCCGTAAAATATTTTTGATATTTCTATAGCCTTAAGCAAAACTGCTAATTTCAACGTGTATCATAAAAAGTAAACTGATCATAGCAATGATTATTGTCACAGCAGAAAAAAAAGCTAATCAAACAGAGTAATAGCAATATTATTTTCAGTTGTTCTTACTTTTCTTTATTTTTAACAATTAAAATCTCTTTAACATGTAGTGCTTATAACTTCTTTCTTTCTATGCTTAACTCTATAAATTTTTAATGAAAAATTTAGTGAGTTTATGGTAAATGTGTAAATGAAATGAGCAACCAGTTTCAACCAATAAATAATTACACATTTCAACAATCCAATGCAAGTATTTGCAGCTGACAGTACAACAACACCATCACTATTATTAATTTTTTACTATCACTATTTTTCCGTTCATCTTCATCACTACTGTTGTACTTGTCATAGTAATCACTATCTTTACAATTCTGAGCATGTTTACCATTTTTGGAAGCTTTATTAAATTATGAAATCGCAGTCACTATTGCTATTACCAATGATGATAATGTTGAGTTACCGATAGTGATTAGTTACTCTTATTACCATCTTCATTTCTAAATAGATAGATCCACAAGCCATTCATGTAACGCTGGAAGAACCAAATATGCCTACATTCATGTTTGTCTCCTTGCTGAAAACCTTTCCACTTATACTTTACGATAAGCTGAACAAAACAAGTTGAAGAATTGTGTTGATAGAATATTTTTCAACAGCAAATTAATTTTGCTCCACAAAAAAGCGAAATAACACAAGAAAACACAGACAGATAACTTTATTTGTTTCATTTTTCATGTAAAAAAAAACTAATAATTAAAATTCAGTGTGAACTGAACCTTGCTAAAATGTCTTTAAATTTCTAGCTCAAAGCTTTCTTGTCTAAGGTATGGCTAAGTGACTTTTTAATAATCATTGTGTAATTTCTTACCCTGAATTTTATAAAGTTCAAATTGACTTCACTTAATTTTTTTAATGTGAAATAGCCTTTTATAACTTGAAACAAATATTAGTGTACTCCCATTAACATTAGCGTATTGTTGCTCATTTTTATATCTTCATGCTAGAATTCTCTACTGAAGGGTACTAAAAATATGACATATCTTCTCAAGTTTAATTTGACAAATAAAAAACACAAAATATCATAGCGACAGCAATATTTATTTATCATCATTTCGTTCATAGTGTGTGAGTTTTTTTTTTGGAATTTATAAGAAAAATATAAAATATTGTAATAAGATAAATTTCAGTTTTTGCCGCAAATATTGCTAACAACTGTTTTGCCATTTTCTCTTCAATCTGCTGCTTTACTTTTTTCATTTTGACTCGAAATGCAATGAAAATTGCTTAGTCACGCAGAAGTTAATTCATATCTGTTGTGGTTATTTCGGTTTGTAACATGCATTTTGCTTTGTCCCTTTTTTTCACTCAAAATTGAGCTATAAATTACATATTGCATATTGGTATTTGGATAAAGACTACGCTAGATAAATCAAAAGAATTTGATTGTTTCATTCATCTTAGCACTTCATTTTTGACTGTTTAGAAATCAAAAAGAAATCTTGCTAGACTGAACAGCAATGTGCTAATGCTCAAAACTTTTATCGCTATAAATTTCACGCCTCTTTAAATTAGATGTACGTATTTTTGAAAGTTAATCATGCGATGCACAAGTTCAATTTTAAAATGATAAAAAATGCATTTTTATAATCCCAAAAATGCTAGTCTACTCCAAAAACTAATTTTCACCTCTAACAACTGCTGGAAGCAAAGAAAAGAGACAAATATTAGCGAACTTTGAGTTACTTTGAGACAGAATACAAATTTACAACATTACTTCTGACTCTATATTACTTACTTACTAGTTTCATATTGCATTGAAGTCAGCAATAACTGCTGAAATTTCTTATTTTGCTCTTACTGAATAATATATGATTTCTTGTATGATGAAACTTTTCTTTTAGACAAATATTTTCCTGCATTACTAGCAAAAATAATTTAAAATGCAATCATGGTTAGTTTCACTCTCATTCATTCCACAGCCATTGCTTTGATTAATTTCAAAAATTCCTCTATTCAGTATTAGTCGATACTTGATATCATAATAAATGTATCATATTTTTCTCTAAGAGAATATCCTTATAGTAACATCTGGCACATTTGTTGAGAGCCAAAGTATGACAGCTAGTCGTTGTTACGACAATCAAGTATTTTACTCGATTTTCATAGTTTTGGTTCAGTGTTACATGATAAAAAATCATTATAAACAACAGATTAATCATTTTAACGACTTTGAAGCTTTGGGTTCTCATTAATGAAGTTTATATGATGAAATATTATTATTGCGATTTATGAAAATCATTCACAATTATTATTACTATTATATCATTATTAGTGTTATTTGTTATTATTCATCTTGTCAAAGCAAAGAATGAAATTTAGCAATTGATGGAAAATTTTTAAATAAGTTGCAAAATTTTCGACTATGATTACTTTTTATTCCTACATTTGATGAAGGAAACGATTACGCATTTATGAAAATCAAATCAGCAATTTCAGTTACCTCGAGCAATTTATTCCAATGCATTTGTCACCTTTTTAACGGAATTTCTCGAAAGTTTGATAAATAATCAACATTAACAGCACATAGCCAAATCATAAGTTAAACAAAATATTGAGTTGTTCATAGACCTAGAAAAAATATCCATCTCTCCCCATCAATTCATCTTATCATGAATACTTTTGTTACTAATTCTGATAGCTTTATTTCTATAATGACGAGGATTAATATTATAACCATGAAATTACAATAATATTAATAGTCATTATTATTGCTGTTATTTTTTTCCGGTATTATCAGCATAGTTAGAGCAAGAGTTAGTGTTGAACGGATATTTGAAATCCATCAAGTGCAAAGAATATCTTGAATATGCCAGTTATTCTAAAGGAAAATGCAATGAAAAAGAAGTCGAGATTGAAACTGAAATAGTGCATTTAATGTTGCTATTATAATAAGCAGCAACACGCGTCAGAAGTTGAGAACCTTTAAAATATCGAAATTATACATATTTTATTTGCAACTTCACGTGAAACTATGGGAATAAAGCTAAACTGCAAAGGTTAATCCTTAAAAATTTTACAAGCAATTCTGTATCAGGTTTCTTCTATGATGGATATCAAATTAAAGCCATTTCTTCCTATTTTCTTTTCCAGTGCTTAACTGCATACCTTCTGAACCAAATTCAGTCAAAATCAGTCTCAAATTTGCTCACTTTCAGTCATTATCAAACACTGCTCTAATTTCATTCTCATTCCGTTCTCTGTTTACACGTCTCTGTGTGTCTGATATTTTTTTGCTTAAATTCAAGTACATTTTGTATGCATGAGTTTGCAGTCGCTTTACTTTTGTATCTGGACAGTAGAAGAAATTTTTTTCTTTTAAGATTCTAATAATTAACCTTGATACATGCACTGCATGAAAATAAGAAGCTTTTTATTTCCTCGTCAACTTCGGTTCTTTGGCTTTAGTTGTTATTTTGTTATGAAGTGAAAATGTATAAAAAAATTAATGATACATTATAGCATTATTTATATAAATATATAATTGTAATAAATGTCGACAGTGAATGACAATTTATGAAATATTCAAGTGTTTTTTCATTCAAAATTAATGAATATTAAAAGAAAAGAATTATTAAAAGTAAATAAGGTTTGCGTATTGATTTTTGCAGGCTTATTTAGAAATCTACATGGTATAAGAAAAAATAATGATACTATTAAATATGGAAAAGAAAAAGGGAAAAGTAAAGAAGGAAAGGAATAAAATGAAATAAAAAAGTGTTTAGTTTTTGACAATAACAAAGTCTTAGCAGAAGTTTTTGAGTAGAAAGACGGAAAGAAGTGCGAATTCTTAAATGTTAAAGCTTCAGTGTGGAAAGTTATACAACGATACTACTCTATTTCAAAGTATAAACGAAAGTAACAGAGGACGAACGAGCAATAGTTGCATGAATAAGAAAGAACGAACATTCAGTGCATGTCAAGCGGTCATTTATTATTTAATAATTTTTATTTATTCGGTAACTTTACTATTTCCATTAACTATCTTATATGTTATTTACCGACTCGTTGATTATTTTGCTAGTCAATAATTTCAATTGAAAGTGAGAAATAACCACTTACGCACTTATTACTTGGTAAGGCACTAGTGGCATAAGATTATAGTGTTACTAATAATCATTTCACTATCAAGATTAAATGATTATTAATTAATAAAATAAAATAAAAATGTGTGCGCCACAAAGAATTGTTAATCAAATTAGGATAAAATAAAGATCCTAAAATTCGAGATCAAATAAAAATTTGATGTGGACAGAACTGAACGAAAATTCTATCCATGTCAAATTATCGATGAAATACAATTGTGAGCATAGTTTTAATAACAGAAATGATAGTTATTTGCTCATGATTATAAAATATGCAGCATAGGCCATGATTTCGATGCAATACTTAGATTTAGACCCAACTTTAAGCTTAGATTTAGCTAGCTTCCAGCCGTAAGTCTTTCTAAAAAACAACATTCAAACTCTATGGCATTCAATCCCAATTTATTTTTATTTTCATTTCGCCTTTAAATTGTTTTGCAGAACTAAGAGTGAACAACGTAACCATAATTCGATCTTCAACTCATTCAATCTTTTCCATCTTTTTTATGTTCAACAATTATCAAGCATTTTCATTGAATCATTGCTACTCTCAGGAAATAATGTCCTGGCGGTCATTGATAATAGAGAACTGTCGTAATTCATCAATATTCCCTGGGAGAAATAAAATGAATTCTGAGTATACTTCACTACTTTTTCAATATTTTGTATAAATAATTATAGAATGATATCATATAAACTTCATACTACAACAGTTGTCAGTTATTTCCCTATCAATTACTATATTTTTCAACAATATTTTTTTTGAATCAAAATATTATACTAAAAATCCAATTTAGCTAGCCATCATTACAAAGTTGCTATTATTCAACTGATTATCTACCATCAGCTCGAAGAATTCATTACAAAGTGATGAGTGCAACTATTTTTTTACTATCATAGGACGTTAACACTCTCGAGTGCAATGGAAATAAATGCTTTTTATCTTTAGTTATTATTATTATTATTATTATTATTACTATTAATGCAAATGAAACTCTTACTTTCATCGCTTTATTTGAAGTAGTGAGTGATACCGAATCTATATATAAAATGTTGCGTTATGACAGCTAAATATTATCAACCATCAATATGATAAAATCATACATTTTTTGCTATTTGTGTCGATTCATGATATATTCAAATGATTATTGATAAGTTAATTTAATTCATTTGCATTCTAGTACTATATGTTGTTTAATGAGGAACTAACTACATTTTCAATAATCAGTTTTATAATTGCAACCTCTACAGTAAATTTCCGAAAATAAAATTCGAAACTTTGATTAATATTCGCGTGAATTTTTGCAATCATATCTACACCGTTATTTCTGTTATCATTTATTATTCTAGCTAGACATTTTTGACAACATTTTAGAATGGTTTCTACATCAGTGAGAAATCTGTGAAAAAAATTGCAAATTTAATAGGAAAAAATGCATATTACTCATTCTAAGTAACTTCATACAACGGGTAAGTTTCATATCTTATATTCATTCATTTATTTTCGTTGCCACATTGCTATTTGAAGTTTTGATCGAGGAAGCTAGAGCTAAGAGTCTCCTTCACTTTATCAAACATAGATTATGTACAATATGCTTACTTTGTTTCACATCAATTTTTGAGTTTTTCAAAAACATGAAGTACATATTTCAGGTTGGGAATCTTTATGTCATTCATTACTGCTGCAAACTGAACTTTAAATTTACATGTGCTGTGCTTAATTTGCAATAAATTTGCATATGTAAAATCATTATTAGAAGTAGGCTTTTTTCCATTCATATCACTGAAAGTTGATTATATCATTCTATGTAAATCCCAAATTATTTCGAGTCTTCAAATATACAGCTAGCTCATTAAATTATTTACTAATTTCTTATCTTTAATAATATAGATCCAAAAAATTCTTCAGAATAATTTGTTACGACACATTTACCAAGAAACAACAAATAATTAAGTTGTACTTCAAGTATACAGCTAGCTGTACAGTGGTACTCGTGAAAAGTCAGGTAACTGTCATCAATATTTGAGTAAATAAGGTCTAAAAGCAACTTTCAATTTTCTTATGATGTTTTGCACTGTAAAACGTTTACAACAGCATTCAATTTTTACTGCATGTATTACAAGGGAAATTACAAAGCAAGAAATGATTCACTAATGAGATGAAATCGATGATTACATATTTGAAAATTAAAAAAATAAATGGAGTTTATAATAATCACAACAGCGAGCAATGGCGAAACAGATGAGACTGAAAAGTTCCGTGACGGACATGAGAGAGCAGTGCACCAGTGTATCAAAACCAGATACCAGTAGGGTAATTAGGCTGGAAACACTCACCCATAGAATTAAGGTTCCACAAAGCATATGGATGCGCGGAGTACTGGAAATGGATCGCTTTGAGGGGATGGCTCTGGTGTCGTTCACTGTATTGTAAGAAATTTGTTTGTGAGATAAGCTTACAAGAACTAAATAAGCAAGCAAATTTTGCGATCATTAGTATTGCTTGTTATCCATGCTCTGCAAAGAGTGCATGGGGAAATAATCTTACCTACTTTTTAAATTGAAATCATGAAATTTTAAGCATACTGGCAGAGCGTATGAGATTTTGCGAAGTCAAAATTGAAAGTTAAGTCCCGATATGCATTCAGAACCCAAAACGCCAGATTTAAGCTGTTCAAAAGATGGTACCATAGGAAACTAATCGAGGAACAGCCGTTAGCTGCAGTGTTAGGATAGAAGAAATCAGAGAGTTCTGGACCACGATGTGGAACTTGAAAATAGGAGAAGATGATAACATTCAGCACAATATGAAAGTATTCGTTGCAGATTATAAAGTGCATGATACTTTCTCATCTGAAGCCGAATTTGGGAAGGTAGTTTCCTATTTGCCTAACTGGAAGGCAGCAGGGCCTGATGGAGCCTATAATTTCTTCAATAAGAAGTGCATCTTTTTACATCCAGATCCATACAAAATAATAAAGCAAATTTGCTTGGAAGGGAAGGAACAGGATCCATGGTTTTACAAAGGAACTACCTACCTAATTCCAAAAGGTTTCCTGAGTAAATTCAGCATGCAAGTTATTCCTCAGGGCAATAACTTGCATGCTGAATCTTTAGAAGTTAAGAACGAGATGTGTACCACGTGCCTTGCAGTTGGGTGTTGTCACCAAGAGACCACTTGCAGGCAACGAATTATGAACTGTTAGCCACGTTTAAGGTGTGAAAGAGCAGGCACTGTTGAACCTGGGGGTTTGAAGAGAGCATGGGAAGCAATTATCCAAAACTGGACTAAACGGCAAGAACTTTATCAAGGCGGTGAATGAGCACGCCATAAGTTTAATAAATTATTAGATCGTGATGCTCAAAATGAAACCAGAGGGTTTTTAAGCAATTGACCATGAAAAATGGAACCAGAGGTTTTTTAAGCAGTTCACCATGATATCAGACAGTTACTAACTAATTACGAGTTTCACAGACAACCTCCAAGTTTAGAGAGACTGTTGTACTTGCCATGGGACGAGCTAAAACGTGTGCTTCACTGCGTTGAACAAACAAGTGAGCTTATGCTTCTGGAAGTTCATAATGTACTTGTAGAAAGTACGTCCATATCTATTAGGAGGGCGGTAATTTTGAAGCAGGAAAAGACTCACAACACGTACTCAGCAGTTATTGTGCCTTACCTTCAGACTAAATGCAACCTCTTAGAACATCCAGCCGTTAAAAACGTATGAGCAGCTCAGAAAGCGCTTCTGTATAACGAAATAAGAAAGAAAACTCGTCATGCAAAGCTATATAAGATACGCAGAAATGAGCTAGTCTCAATGTCAGATTCATCAATGTGGCCACGATTCGGAAATATCACCTCATAAGATGAAGCGCGATACTGTCACTAGAAATATATTTGGAACTGAGAAAGGTGTCAAAGATCTACGTAATGAATAAATAGGTATAAATAATTGGTGATAGAAATATAGGTGAATAAATAAGTAGAATAAAAATTATCAGAAAAATTCAATGGAATAAATGTTTATATTCTATGTAGAATGTACAGACTTGTTGCATTTTAGCTGTTTGTTTTTGAATAGAGTTCTCGAATTTTTTGGGGAAATTTCATTATCCTTAAGATATTGGTATTATTAGTATTAGTACCAATATTAGGATTAAAACTCCATTAATATATTAGCACTAACATTAATATGATTTTAGTATTAGTATTGTGATTATAAGAATCGTTAAAATTATATCAGTAGTAATATTGTTATCGTACAAATAAATAAATAAGATCCACCATATTGTGTTTTCGCTCACTTTTAAAACAGAACATTGATTTCAAAGATGATGTTTAGATGGTTTATGTCTACTAATTGCTATCCCACTTTTTTGAATGTGTGCAAATTTTTTCTTATCCGAACTACTTAATGTTTCTTGTTCGGATGTCTCAATTTAACTCTCCAGATTATATGCGATAAGCACAATACTGTTTGGTGCCATTTTGCCGTACCACGGAGCGAAGATAAAAGCACTCATCGCTGGTAACTTATTTTTAAAGTTAGGCAATTCCTGTTGATCAGTTGAAACGAAGACACCACTTTTCTGTGCGATAATACATAGCTGATATTTTGAAATTATTCGTTATATTATAGTTAAAAGAGAAGAGATCGCAGCGCAAATAATTCAAGAATAATATTTTAACAATCCATGTATGATTGCATTCTCAGCTTCAGATTTGCACTTTTTATATCGGAAATACTCATGAAATCATGTTTATTATCTGATATATATTATTAATGTTCCATATTTTATCATTTAATCATCCAAATATTAAAACTACCCTTTTACCAAAGCGTAAAAGAAATAACACCAAAATGAAAATCCCATTCACTTTTTTTAAGATCACATTTTCGCTCTACTATCATGCTTACCTTCAATCGGAAATTTCATCGTTCTGAAGCAAAACTGAGTTTGGAAAATTTATCTGGTACTGATCTGATGCCCTTTGGTTTAATTTCTGCGAATTTCCTCACTTATTTTCTCCCTTAGTATTCTTTACAAAATTTGTATTTGCTCGTAATTTTTATTTCTGGTCTTATTTGAAAGGAAAATGTTAACACTATAACGTATTAAAGCTAGCAAAAAATGAAGAATATCATAGGAAAAAAATGTAAAGGAAAGAGGAAGAAAAAGTGGCGAACACTCAGGGGACGCAGCAACTGAACTCTCGATCAATTTCATTTTATGCCAAGAATTCATGGCATCAGTATATCTCTAAGTATTTCTTACTGCATTCGTTAAATTTCATACTCTGAGCAGATATAAAAATATGCTTTTCGTTTGTAAATGTCTAATTGTGATAATGCAAGGTGAAACAAGGCTTGATATGAAATCTAGGAAAATTTTATTGAAGTAATTAATTTCAAATCATTTAATTTAGAATTTGTAAGAATCATTTATAATATTTCATATAAATCTGTGAGTGCAGTTTGTAGTTTCTCAAAGTTCATTTCAAATTCATTCGATATACTTTCAAAACGAAGAAGAATAAAAGTGATGAATTACTAATCAGACGTATCAGTTAGAAAAATTGTGAAGAAAAATTCTTCTCAAACTCAAATATATCTCATATATCATCTGCAATATTTATTCGCGAATTAGTAGAATTTTGCGGAAAAGACAAATGAATAATATTTGGAATGGATACAGAAAAAAGACTTAGATATCTGTTTGTTTACATATTAAACAAATAAAATGATGCTTCGTATAGAGAAATGTAAAACATTACTGCTCAAAGCGTAAATTCCCAAAGCGATTCAGAATGATTTAATTAAGACTTTTAATCTTAATTTTGATTACGTATTGCCAACTTTTTTTTTTGCGTTTTTCTTAATTTTCTTAGTAGACGATATGACGAGAACTTTCTTACCAAAAAAGTTGGTTTGAATTTTTTTTTCATAAAATACCATTTTCAACTATTTTTCAAATTCAATAACATCTCTCCTGTCATACCTGTGTATTATCATAAATTTCCAGTTTTCACTAGGTCTTTATTCTTCTCCACTCTTTAATTTTAATCTACATCATAACTCTCAGAAGAAATATTTAATTAATTAATTAATTAATTTATTTATTTATAAAACACATAGGGTAGAACTTCATGTAAGAATCATGCAATCGGAGCAAAAAAGACGAGAGTTTTCAGGTGCAAATTTCAATTACTATGGGTGCTACTTAATGCCACCTTTCAGTAGGAGTATAGAAAGAAGTTTTGTTTTTCCAGAAAAATGTTTTTTTCAAAACACTATTTGAAGATTTATTACTATACTGACAAGCAATTTCTCATTTTTATCCTGTGTTAAATGTAAAAAATTTTGTCCAAATCATTGTAAATACGTCTAACTTCTTGATTTACTATCATAAATAAAACTTGATGTGTCATAAAATAAAATTATAATTTAATCTTCAAGTGTTCAAGTTGTTTCTCTTTTTCCATACTCAACTCTACAAAAGCAAAATAAATCTCATATCAGCTTTCGAAATCAACAATTCTCAATTATAGAGTTTCTTTCTTCGGAAACATTTATTTATATTCACATTGCAGTGATTTCTATAAAGTTCATCTGATATAAAAACAAAGATATAACTATCAAATGATCGTTAAAGTTTTTAATTAAGAATTTTTTTATCAGTTTTAATTGTATGCATAAGCTTGAAATAGATGTGTCCAAATTTCACTGAAATGTTAGAAGATATCTTTGAACTGAATCATAACCATTTCTGCAAATATCTTGTATTGATTTAAGTATTTTCTGCAACTTTATCTTCATAATGTCTACAACTGTAGAAATGATTCGGATAAAAAAAAATTTATATATAGATTTACATTTGTATTTTTAAGCATTCTTTAAATTTAGTTTATCATAATAAAATTAAGCTTAGAAGAAGATTAATCGTTGTTGTCTCCACAACGAAAACAAAGGTGTATTTTGTGAGATTTTCAGAAAAAGTAGTTTCTTTAAAATTTCACCCAAATTTAATCGATTCTGTTTTATAATGACCGCCTCAACTTTTTCGTTTTATCAGACGTTCCATTTTAATGTACTCATTATGAATTTTCGATTATTTGTTCATATCTAAGCACTTTCTCAATATTATACCTGCTCAAATATATCATTTAATTTTGCTTATAATCATGCCAAAACTGCTCTGTTTACGTCGCACAATTGATTTTACCTTTATTTTTTTAATTATGTCTGAAAACCGCAATTTTCGAATCAAATAAAATTTTTCTTAGAACTGGTAAAACTGACTTTAAAAAAATTTTGCTTTACAGGACTGCAAAAAAATCTTGCTTTACAGTATTGCAAAAGCAATATAACATAATTATAATTAGATACCTTTGGGAAGTCACTGCCAAATCAGCCGTAATCTACGTTTATCTATTATAATTCTTGTAGCAAAGTAGCTCCGATAATACTGAATAAGAAAACATGCTATAAACTTCGAAAACTATTGGTTTCAAAAATAATTTGTTTTTTTTTCATAATTTTTTGCTTTCTTTTGTACTGTATCATGTTATATTTACGATTGAAGTTGCTTTCAAATTAAATAAGTCATAGATATTTTTAAAAGCATCTTACCTTTACTTGGCTGCCTTTTTCATTCTACTGCATACTTTATTCTTGTAGCCATTAATGACAACGAACACAGATTGAATCATAATGTGAAGCAGCTAGTTAGCTTCATAGTTCAAATATACAACTATGTTATTTGTACTTTGTCTTATTTATTTCTTAACTAATTTTTTTTCAAAAATGCATTATTTTCCAAACAATATTAGCCAAAAGAAAAATTGTAGGAAAAGTTTAGCCATTTGTTCTGCAGATTTTTTTCTTGTGAGCTTATTGGATTTTTCTTCTCTCGACAAGCCTCCTCCAAACCATCAGGAGAAACAATAACAGTTGCTACTGTCATATAATTTGAATAACTTGAAAGAATCATTGAAAATAATACTCAAAAAATCAGCACAAAAAAGGATATGTGAGAGAACTAACTGAAAACTGGACAGAAAATATATTCATAATAATTAAAATTTATAGACTCATGTCCACTGAATTATTTAATTCCTATACAATAGATGTTGACAAAGATATTTGTGCAAGTTTTTTATTTCTGGTGTGGCGAATTTTATTGACTTACAGAAATGAGGAAAGATTTTTTTTATTTTTGCAGTTTAATGCAAGTGAAGGAATCGGAGAAAGTGTATAGGAGATGGCATCGAATAAAATTTTCACAAATATTCTTCATTTTAACTCTCTTCATTTTTCTTGACTCTCAATTGACTAACATAAATACTTTTTTGCATCATTTTTTATCACTCTGCTGGCAGTAACTATATTGGAAATCAGTGTAATGTAAAGTGCTTATTCACCTTGAACACCCCTCCAATGCTAAAAAAATGATGCGCTAAGTCTGTTAAATTGATGGAACTTCTACTCATTATTTAACATTGTATTTACTGTAAAATTTACTGCGAAGTTTGTTATGAAAAACAATAAAACTTCGAAAAAACGATTGAAGGAGATCGTTTCCTTTGAAAGAAAATGGATGAGAAAAGAAACTAAGTCGAGACTATTGCTTACAGATTTTTTCCTTCACAAACAATGCAGAAGTTACCGCTGCAGCAGTTTGCTTTCCTTCTCTCTATTTCAGTAATAACTGTATAATGGTTTTAAATGCGCAACTCGGTCAGTAGACGGTAGACTTGAATAAACTAGCTTAATTGATAATGCAAAGTTTGTGAATTTTTTTTGAACAAAGTGTACGATAATGGAAGCTAAAAACTTTAGAATAGAAAAATTAGTTCATTTGTCTTATATACAAACTTTAATATCGATTGACTAAACATGTTTGTTCAAGTATCCAATGGAAGCCTTTTGTCATTACAAAATGAAAGCAAACGTGACGATGCGTGGAAACCGGAGATCCATTAGAAAGGAAAATGCATGCGACAAGACGTGAAATTGCATTAGAAACAAGAGAATAGCTTAAACATAACGGAACCAAACTCATACATTATTACTCGCTCAATTAGTTACTAATTTTACAACTTTACGCAGACTCGGAAAGAGCGCAAGTTAGCAGCAGTAGTTATTGGACCGTTTAGCAGAGAGTAGCAGTTGTAAGTAAACAAGTACGTAAGTAAATAAGCAAGTAACTAAGTAAATAGGTAAATCTCATCCTTCTTCTTCGTCTCCACGGTCATAATAATCAAAGCGAAATCGAAGTTTCACAGCATTTCCTTCCAAATTATTTCTCACATCTTTTTTGCTCCTCACTTATTTCCTCGTGTCATATTCTTTCTCCCAATCCCTATAAACCTTTTAGTTAACATTCAAATCCTCACATCTCCACAATGACTAACAGTCCATCTTTGCCTCGTATTGCGTACTGTTCTGTACTTTCATCATTTTCACTGTTTATCTCATTAACTTTACTCTTATTCTTTCTTCTTCATTACTTTACTTAGCAAACAATTACAAATTACAATCAGTCACTCTGATTCCAATGATGGCCTACCAGAGTGAGTAGTTACTTTTAAGAATATATGTAATTCTTGCACGTCTTTACGGATTTTGCCCGTGCAAATAAATAATGTTACTGATCAACTGATTGGAGAATTTGCATGTGCTTATTCAAAACGTATACTTCAATTTTCACTTACTCAAGTATGTGTCGTTACGACTTGGTATGTGATAATATGGCTTGATGTATGCGTAAATATATGCGTGTGAATCTGAACTTGCCGATGACGTCATGCAGTAATAATTCACTAATATTAGGAATGATGATGTTTTACTGAGGTAACAAAGCAGCAACCAGAGTGGCAACTGAGATTAGCATGTACGCATGCATGTACGTGTGTGTGTATGTAAATGTCTGATTGTATGTTTAATATGTGAACCAATATATTTGTGTGTCTCTCATACTAGACTGAATGTATGTCTGTATCTCTTGATATGCATATGTCTATGTTTGATGCATCATTTATGCGTGAGGAAAAGTGTGTATGTCACTATCTGCAAGTGTGTCTGTATATGTTTTGATTTGATTTGATATCAACGAGATAAAAAGAATATGTGCCAAAAGTATGCCGCAGCAGCAGCAGCTGTAGCAACTGACGGCTTAGAATTATGGGGATGGGTAATTGCGTTGGACTGCAACGATTTCCACCTAGGCGAGTTTTGTAGTGCTAATGTGAACGTGTTGTAAAAATCTTGGACTCATTCTGGTTTTGCTATTGCTTTCGTACTTGTACAACAACGCGTGCTTGCGTGCTTTCACGTAATTGACTAAGACATTTACTGGATCCAGACTGACTGACGAATAAGCTGACAGACAAGCAGACAAGCCGTGCTTCTTTCCTATCTTCCTTCAATTTATGCCACTTTGGTGATTCCCAAAAAATAAAAGTATATTTATTTATGCCTCTCAGACTCACATACACACACATACGCACACATGCACATACACACACATACACACACATACACATACACACACATACACACACACATACATCATACATGCTTATGTGAGGCCTATTTTCTTACATCGTATTAGAGGAATGTTTGCAGTTGTGCATGCATGTGAGTGAGAGAAAAAGAGCATTGTTGGAAGTGTATGTGGGGAAGGGAGAGAGGGAGCGTTGCATGGCAGCTTCTGCTAATCTCTTATTATCCGGAAATTGAGCTAACTCGGTGCAAACTACTGACTTCTCGGGATTGCTTTCGAGATTGGTCATTCTAAATTGCTAGTCACGCTGTCTTTTTTTGCTTTGAATGAATAACATGTAATGCAACAGCATGCGAACAGAGAAGGCAGTTACGGCTTACGTGCATAATTACTTGTTGCTCATGACGGTCGTGTGGTTATTTTTCTGTTCTCACATTCTTTTGGCATTGCATGACAGCAAATCCACGACTTTAAGCATGCAAATTTAAAGGTACATCCTTTACACTGCATGCATGCACTATCATTTTTTCGAATTGGCGCTTAGTAAATCCCAAGCGAGGAAGAAGGCACTGACGTGTACTCTCAACTCGTCAGTAAACAGAAGGATAGATGATGAATGTAGAGGAATAGAGTAAATGCGAGATGCATATATAACACGTCTTTTTATAAATTCTCGTTCACCGGAAAGGAACGTTCCCCGCGATGCACGAGTATGCTTGTTCCCGATCCTGAGGTGCGATGAGCTCGCGCGCACCTCGCAGACTTCTCTTTCCTTTTCTCTTTACAATTTTCTCTATGCTTTCTTGCACTCTTTTCCATTCCTCATTTAACTCTCTTTTTATCTATTTCTCTTCTGCATTTTCAAATCCAGGATTAGTGATCTTAGTTATCACGCTGTATGCTTTGTTCACTAACTATGGTATTTTAATTTTTCCCGCAATTTTACTTCTTTAATTATATATGACTGTCGTATAAGAATTGTGATAAGTATTTTGTGATGTGTTTAGATTGCACGTTGAATTTTTTATCTGTTAAGCAGAATGTTATTTGATTTGTGATTTTTACAGTTAGTGCACAATTCTTTGAAAACGTATCAATCACTGTGACATTACCACTTCAACTTGTACTTTCTTCTTTATTTCACAGTGCGAGAAATTACTTCACTGTGACATTATCACTTCAACTTGTACTTTCTTCTTTATTTCACAGTGCGAGAAATTACTGTTTCTTTAGGTTGCATAGCGCAGTCATGTATTAAAAGTATCGTTATCAGCTAACCTGTCAACTGCACTATTTTTTACTAGATTATTTTTGTATTATAGTGTGTTGGGTAGCTGTAGTCACGTAAACTTATTTAAACTTGTATTTTAACATTACACGTGCGCTCTATCAGTTGTAATTATAATAATTTATAATTTGTCACACCGTTGCAGAAGTACGAATCTGGTGATAATTGCGTGCATAATTATAGATACTCTAACTAACGATACTGTTGCAGACCTGGACGGCATAATCGATATTGAAACGAAATTGACGCTTTGAAGTTTGTATAGGTGTGTAAGGTGCCTTCCATATTAGTTGAAGGTAAAGATATTGCTATCACATATCTTGTGAGAGATGAGTTCCTAAGAACAGATCATGTTTCAATTCAATAGTGTTACCTATATGAATACATCTTTCTGTATCCATAGCAACAAATGAAGTATGGTTTATTGTCACACCTTTAGGGACATGTAGAGCACAGAGTGGAAAGGTCAGTGCATGACGAAACGAAACTTATAATATGTATCTGTGAAGCCTTAACTCATTACCATATCCTATTCCTTTGCAATATAGAGAGAATAATTAGCATATATCCGAAAATATTATTCTATTGTCACACAGATACTTGCAAGATTACTGAACTCTGAATTCACAGAATCTAAATGACGACTGAAGAGGAGTTTTCTCAGCATACAAACAGTTTCTTTTTCATGCTAGACTCATTTGCCGAGGCAAAAGTAGAGTGAGACTACGCAGATAATGATGAGTTTATTTATTGTAATATTATTACTCATCTTAACTCTTTTTAGCGGGACTGCTTTGTTTTATAGTATTGTTTCAGGTAGGTGTTAGTCGCCATGGGCAGCCGCGGGGAGTACGGCTGCTCCGTGGACGAGCTTCGAACTTTGATGGAATATCGGGGATTAGAAGCTCGAGAAAAACTGGATGCTGAATATGACGGAGTTGAAGGCTTATGTCGAAGGTTAAAAACTGATCCAAATACAGGACTGCCTCAAGATAAGGATGAGTTGGACAGGAGACGAGCAGTGTTTGGTGCTAATGAAATACCGCCGCATCCACCAAAATCATTTCTGCAACTTGTGTGGGAAGCACTTCAAGTAAAACTTGCAAATATTCAGATTTATAGTATTGGCAAATGTGTATTGAATTTCGTCAAGTAAAGCTTAAGCCTTTCTAACTTTTTTGTTTAGTGTATTGATAAGTTTGAATTCTTGTATAAAACATGGTTTTAATTTGATTTTTACCATTTCAGGATGTTACGTTGATTATTCTTCTCGTGAGTGCAATAGTATCCCTTGCATTATCGTTTTATCGCCCACCTGATGATGGTTTAGGAGGTAATGCTTTTCTAAAAAGCTCACTTTTCGGTTTGTTATCCAATATTTTTCTTTCTTGACGAATTTTGTGGTCATTTCAGCGGGTTCTGATGATTCGGAGCATGAAGCCGGATGGATCGAAGGTGTCGCAATCTTAATTTCAGTTGTAGTTGTCGTCCTTGTGACGGCTCTTAATGACTACACTAAGGAGCGTCAATTTAGAGGTGAAAATTAGTCTCGTTTCGCAAAACTTCTATAGTTAGCCAGTTATCCAAATACTGCGAATTATTTTTTGTATTTTTGTGAATGTTTTGAGTCTTTTTTATTTTTTTATGTCATTACAAATTTCTCTTTTCTCTATCTTTATATTTAAATTCATTATTTCTGTTATAGGTCTTCAAGCAAAAATAGAAACTGAGCATAAATTTGCCGTTATTCGTGGTGGTAATCAAATACAAATAGTTGTTAATGAATTGGTTGTCGGTGACATAGCTCAAATTAAATATGGTAATAGCTAAAAAATAGTTTTTATATTGAAACCCACATTTTTGCACTGAAAAATGTTATTGAATTCTGCATTATGCATGCTTTCGAAGTTGATATTTGAAAGTTCTATCGCGATTATTGATTCTTGGTCCTTTCATAGCCTTTATGATGAAAATGAATATAACTAATGTCTTTTTGTTATAATTAAACTAAATTATGAGTCGTTGTTTTACTACTTTGGTGTTTAATTATAATGTATATTGCAGTTTATTAAAAAAAAATTATTTTTTTGTTTTTCTTTGAAGTGATAATCATGTTACTGCTTAAGGAGATTTGCTACCTGCCGATGGTGTTCTTGTTCAGAGCAATGATCTAAAAATTGACGAGTCTTCTCTAACGGGTGAATCAGATCAAATCCGCAAAAGTCCTGACTTCGATCCAATGCTTCTGTCAGGTATCGTTGTCACTTTCATTAGTCGTCGCTTGTAAAATTGTTTATTTTTACTTGCGTGTATTAACTTTTATCGTACCTAAACAACTGCTCTCAATTGGGGTCAGAACAAATGTTGATATGATTTTATTTTGTTGGAATGTGAATAAATTGTGTGTGATTAGATAAGGTTTCAGGTACACACGTGATGGAAGGAAGCGGCAAGATGATCGTTACGGCAGTGGGTGTAAACTCTCAAACAGGGATCATCATGACTCTTCTTGGGGCAGCTAAAGATGTAGTAGAGGAAGAACGTAAAGCAGCCAAACGTGAAGGTTGGTAAAATTGTGCAGATTAAACGCTTTTGGATCCTAGTTCTATAAGCAAAAATTCGATAAATCAGAAACAAGCTATGAAGAAAAAAGTGTGCATGTTAGCCTATATGTTGCTTTCAACCTTAGTTAATAGCTTATTTTAGGCAAACCATTTGATATTAAGCATTGTAATAAGTGTACAATAGAATAGCCTTACTACTTTTCCACTGCTTTTGCAATGACTCATAGCTCATTAGTGCGTTCTCCCAATTCTTTGCTATTTTAGGTGTTTATAATTAGAGTTTTTGCACTTACAGAGGTATTATCATGACTATGTATCATCTAAAGTTGTTGCCATTTTACATGAGAAAATTTATTGATATTTACTTCCCTATTAAGTAAATGCTTTCTTTAAAACTCATTTTATCTGCTCTACACTTTGCACAAAAATTCGTCGGTAACGTTGATGTCACGATTACAACTTTATCTTGAATCATTCTTCAGAGCGTCGTGCACGTCGAAAGAGCAAAGCATCTGGTAAGACTTCTATGTCGATCATTGTTTTCAAAGAGAAACAGTAGTATTCAGTCACTGAGCATGTTATGTCATTTTTTGTTGGCATGTTTTCTGCACGGCACTTTGGAAGAAAAAAATAGACGTTTAGAGCGAGAAGTAGAATGCTTCAGATTTTATTTGGGATGAAACAAATGTGTTTTTATCTCAGCTGTCTCGTATAATTTGTAAGAAGTGACAAGGTAGACGAATTCTGAGTTGTGTTTTGTTTAAATTGTCAAAAGCTAACGACTGACGAATTTAGGAATTAGTGTAAACTTTGCAGGACATGTGATTTTTAAAATGTTTATTGATCCAAGGAAACAAGATTGCGGGTGCGATTCAGTCATTAAAAAGGACTGATGTTGACTCATTTCTCTATAAGAATAAATATATTGTAGAAGTACGCCTTCCGAAGTCCTTATTTTAATAGTAAATGAAATTGCATTATTTCAACTTAATTTTCAGTCATATTTGCAGTTGTAGTTATGTCTTGCTTTATTTCACTTTTATTCAGCGTTTTTCTTCCTGTTTTCAGAGAGTATACTTGGATGAATTTTCCGATTATATTTTGGAAAAATGTAGCATCGTCAAAAATTCTGTCCCTAATATTTTTCATAATCTAACCGAAACTCTTGCGATGGTCCAGTTGAATTCTGTTTAAAAATTTTCTTTATCAGTCTCTGCGTTATACCCAAGCCAGCAGTCGTCATAAGCAACAACAATTAATCTCTTTCGTTTATCGCATGAAATTTTTGTGATAATAAAGCAAGGAAATTTTAAATCTGCTAAGAACTCAAAATCAATATGGTTGGTTTGTGAGAACAGATTTCATCTTTGATGATTGAAGTATAATCAAATGAACTTAATCGTGAATAGTAAAATTATCATTGTAATTCTATTTGTATATTTTCCTAAACTGAAAAAAATAAATAGAGATGGGATCAAGTTTTTATGTTGGAAGCATTTTATTTTTCTTGCTGCAAATTATTTTTTGAAAAATTTTCTAGAATAATTTATTCAAAATTTGACTGATCTTTCTTTTCTAAATTCTCAAAATATTTTTTTCTTAAGGTTTGTTAGTTATCCATGTTTATGTTTTATTCTTTTCCTTTCAAAATTTTCTTCTTTGTGTACGTATATGCGCGATTCATAAATGCACGTTTTGTGTTATTTGTGAAATTTTATTTTCTCAATTATGAGGCGTTTGAAGTATTTGGTTTCAGCACAAGATATATTCTACCTCCTTAATAATTTATTTTTTCTACAGAAAGTTGAGGAGTTTTGTTTAAAATTGTTGCAATCAAGAAAAAAGCTGACACATTGTTTTTTTTTGTTGTTGCTTTCACAAGCTTTTTTTACCTTTTGTTCATGTCAATCTTTTCTATATATTTGAAATTTCAGGTGATGCTGTAGCAAGTGCAGGAGTTGAAGATGGGACTGCTCAAGCTCTTTTAACTGATCGTAAGTCTAAAAATTTTGCCTTTAAATTATTGCAAAACAATGTGCTCTGATCTCTCAAATTCTTAAATATCAGGCATGTATTTCTATCTCAATTCTATGAATTTTTAGGGATCAAGGATAGTTTTACTGAATTAAACTTTATGCTGAGAGTTTTTCGATGGACTCCCTTGAAAAATGTTGTAAAAGAGCATTTTAATTTGATTCATTGAATGCATATATATTTTGCTAATGATCCAACCCTTTTCTATAATTTGTGCTTTTTCAGAATTTGAAATATATCTTTTTTAGTAAATTGGTCATGCATTTGAAAAATATTTATTTTATTTATTAGTTTTACATTATTCAAAATGGTGAAAGAGACAAATGCTTCAAGAACACAGTTGATAACGTAATTAGTCATAAATTTCATCCAAGTGCTTTTTTTTTGGAGGTATTCCTGCTATTGTTGTTCAACACTTTAGTTCTTCGAATTAAACTGTTTTTTTTTGTTTTTGCATAAAATTGTTTAATCTGAATTGCTATGTTTTCCTTTAAAACAGGTTCATACTTGCGTCGCTAAAATAAAATTAGGGTTATGTAGACCAAGAAATTTTTGCAAAACCGAGAAAAGAATTATTTAATATGGTGTAAAGTTAGACAGACTAATTTTCGAAATACTGATCACTATTTTTAATCGGACTATTGTAGTCAAAGTAAAAAATTAGCCATGCATTAATACATCTAAGCATTAGTGCAAATATTTTTTTGTAGATTAGGAGATAAGTCATAAATTAAAGGAAGTATCGAAGTAAAAGACAGGAGAAATAGAAAATATCATCTTGTTTTATATCTCAATTCATGTGATTTCAATTGTTGAAATTGCAGATTGATTTGTGCATACGTTATTTTGGACCAGTTTTTTTCGATCTTAAAAATGAGTGAATTTTGTTGCATATTATGAAACTGAAGCAAATTAAAAAATCCAAATTGTTCTACTTCAAGATGTAAAAGCGGATGGTTTGGCGGAGGGAAGCAATGGAGGCTTAAGTAGCGAAGTGACTAAAGACGAAATTGAAAATAAGAAGGAACGCTCAGTTTTGCAAGCGAAACTCACACGTCTTGCGATCCAAATTGGATATGCGGGTATTGATGTCATAAAATTGCTTACTTTAAAAAAAATTTAAGAGCAGATCTCTTAATGCACGATAAATGTAATTGAAGTTTTAAATTTTGCAGGCTCATTCGTTGCTGGCTGTACTGTTCTTATTCTTGTGACAAGATTTTGCATTAGCCGTTACATGATCGAAGAAAAAGCATTCAGTGTTGCCGATTTCCAGCACTTCATCAATTTTTTGATTATTGGTGTTACTGTTTTAGTTGTTGCAGTTCCAGAAGGCCTTCCTCTTGCTGTTACTCTCTCTTTAGCATATTCAGTCAAAAAGGTTAGGCGTAATAATTTCACTACGAAACACTTTTTTTTTAAATTTTAGTTTATACATTGAAACAAAATAATGACAATTTAAATGTAGATGATGCTGGATAACAATCTTGTTCGCCATTTGGATGCATGTGAAACGATGGGTAATGCTACGAGCATTTGCTCAGACAAAACTGGCACATTAACAACTAATCGTATGACTGTTGTGCAGAGTTATATAAACGGTCAGTTTGTTTAAATAATCATATCATGTTAGGGGATTATAATCTCTATAAAAAGTACTACGATCATCTTTAGACAGCTGTATTATTTTGTCATGAGGATTATGACCCTTCTCTGTGGAGATTATTACCGTAGTTATCAAGTTTTTGTAAAGCTTTCTGAATTGCAGTATTTCAGAAGTACATCACAAAGAAACACCGAAGTTTGAGTCACTAAACAAAGAAACAGGGGAATTATTAATAAATCTTATATCGATTAATAGTAGTTATGCGTCACAGGTACTTTTCGTCCAAATTAATATTCATTCTAATTTTTTTGCTTTATTCCTGGTTCAGAAATATACATTTGGTGCATTTTTATGCAGTCAATAAAACTTTTAATTTTTTAATATTTCTACTATCGTTTTCAATTTCTGGACTGGATAGATATTAAATTGCAATTGGTTTATGTTTATTTTGATATTTTATATTTGTGAACTTCAAATTTTTTCCTCTCTAAAATTTCTGTTGTCATGTGATTTTTAGGTTGTACCTGCAAAAAATCCTAGTGAGCAAGTTACACAATTGGGAAACAAAACTGAATGCGGCCTTTTGGGATTTGTTCTTGCATTAGGACAAAGCTATCAAATTATTCGAGATAAATATCCAGAAGAGAAGATTTTCAAAGTTAGTTTCTGAGTATACTTCCATTAAAGGACTGAGGATATTCTCTAATGGAAATATTTTATTAGTTTTCATAAATATTTTGCTTGTAGTATGATATTGCTTATTTCATTATTTGTGTGATTCATAGTTGCTCTTTTCAGGTTTATACTTTCAATTCTGTACGAAAATCAATGTCCACTGTAATTGAACTAAAAAAGAATGATGTTGTTTATGGTTATCGGGTATTTAGTAAAGGAGCATCTGAAATAATTTTGAAAAAGTATGTTTGTTTATAGAGCAAGTCAAAAATAATTTTCCTGCACATGCCAATATGTAACGTTGAAGATTTAATAGTTTCCATTTAAATGTTCTTTAGACGATTACCTTGATCGAATCATTTTTTCTTTTTTTACAGATTTAAGCAATTTATTTAACTGGAAACTTTGTGTTATGGATTACGATGATTGAAAAACAATCAATACCGAAAAATTATTAAAATATTATGAGTAGAAATTCTTTAGAACTGATCTTTTCACAATAACAAAATTTAAAATATTGCGTTATTTTTATCTTCATCATTTAAATCGTATTTCTTATTAATAAGCTTCAGTTCCTAAGTAATGATTAATAATGTTGTTCATTATAAACGAAAGTTCTTCTCTAATGAAAATTTTTTTAGATGCAAATGGTTCATGGATAAAAATGGTGCACCGAGAAAGTTTTCGCAAAAAGATTTCGATCGATTAGTCAGTAATGTCATTGAACCAATGGCATCAGATGGCTTACGTACTATATGTCTTGCATATAAAGATTATCTTAATGTTGCTGACAGCTTGAAAGAAAATCAGGTTATCTCATTTTTTGATACTGTTACTCGATTGTCTTTTCCGAAAATAATTATTCTAATGAACTTGGACTTAAGATTTTTAGATTCTTCTTACTGGTGAAGTAGATTGGGAAAATGAAGATGCTGTCATTACTGATTTAACTGCAATAGCCATTGTAGGAATTCAGGATCCAGTTAGACCAGGTTTGTTGTCTTTTTTGGAATCCATTATTGTTGAAATCTTTTCCTCATAAAAAGTTTCAAAATTTCTTCTTAAGAAAAGTACTCTTATATTGAAATAATTTTGAGAATTAGCATTAACGTACTTCAGATTCGTACATTAAAGTACAGGATTTGTTAATGATGAACATATTTTCCTATATTATAGAAGTGCCAGAAGCAATAGCGAAGTGCCAACGTGCTGGTATAACAGTACGTATGGTAACAGGAGATAACATTAATACTGCTCGATCCATTGCTACAAGCTGTGGAATTTTGCGTCCTGGTGAGGACTTCATTGCTTTGGAGGGGAAAGACTTCAATGCACGTATTCGGAACGATAAAGGCGAGGTATCTCAAGAGAAGCTAGATGTAATATGGCCGAAACTGCGTGTCCTTGCTCGAGCGCAGCCATCTGATAAATATACACTCGTGAAAGGCATTATTGACAGTCGTATCACCGATAACAGGCATGTGTTTCTAATTTGAAAACACAAATAGAAACATAGAAAAAAACTAAAACCATCAAACGCTATGTACATGAGAGCTTTTAAAGTTTTCCAATATCAATTCAGGGAAGTAGTGGCTGTAACAGGAGATGGTACAAATGATGGGCCGGCACTGAAAAAAGCAGATGTTGGTTTTGCTATGGGAATTGCAGGCACGGATGTTGCTAAGGAAGCATCAGATATTATACTGACGGATGATAATTTCACTTCTATTGTCAAGGTATCATAGATTCACTTTTTTAAATACATACAAATAAACATATTCAATCTCAGTTTTTCTTATAATTTAAGTGAAGTAATTGAAATTATTACCAATTTTGTCTTACTGATGCCTCGGAAGCATCTCACCTAGAAGACACAGTACGTTTAACGTTTATTGGATCAAGATTAGGTTATGCTGTCACAATTTTTATGTTTTTTATGATAAAACTAATCATTGCAAATTCTAATTCATTTTTAGGCAGTCATGTGGGGACGAAATGTCTATGATTCAATTGCAAAATTCTTACAGTTCCAGCTTACCGTTAATGTAGTTGCTGTTGTTGTAGCATTTGTTGGCGCATGTGCCATTCAAGATACTCCCCTAAAAGTCCGTTCTTTGCTTGATATTTTATTGCAGTGAAAATTAGCTGGGGCGAATAACATAGTTTGTATTATGCATTTTTTTAGGCTGTGCAAATGCTTTGGGTCAACCTTATTATGGACACTTTAGCATCGTTAGCTTTAGCCACTGAAATGCCTACGGAAGATTTACTGAAGCGGAAACCATATGGTAGAACTAGTCCTCTGATATCTCGAACAATGAGCAAAAATATTTTGGGTCATGCATTTTATCAGCTGCTCATCTTGTTTGCTCTCATTTTTGCAGGTTAAATAGTCATCTGAAGTTTTTCTTCTGCCGTCTTTATCAGAAAAAAATTTCACTCTCTGCCCTGTTGCGATCATTTAATGATATTTACGTCATGTTTTTTGACAGAATTTTGTACTTCTTAATTTTCTTACGCTGCAGTGATGGAAATAAAACTAGTTCTGAGTGAAGAAACCGATTTAAATGAATTTGTTTTAATTAACAATGCTCTCATTAATGTGCAAAATTCTTAAGTTGCAGCTCACCTTCAACGTAGTTGCTGTTATTGATGTGTCTATGCAAGAATATAGTTAATTTCGTATAATAGCTTTTTCTAGGCGAACGCTTTTTCGAAATTGAAAGTGGTAGGTGGGCACCTTTGCATTCACCTCCTTCCGAGCATTTTACGATTGTTTTCAACACTTTTGTAATGATGACACTTTTCAATGAAATTAATGCTCGAAAAATTCATGGCGAAAGGAATATTTTCGCAGTTCGTCATTCATACATTTAAGCAAATAAAATTGTTTCATATTATAGGTCTACGAAGGCAATTTTTTAACAGATATGAGAAGTAACTATGTAATTTATTAAAGTGTAGGCTTGTAAGAGCTGCATCAATTTCCATCTCTGATTAAAGTTTTCTTCATTAATGTTCAATTTGACTCTTTATATTTATTTATTTTTTTACAATAGGGCCTTTTTTCAAATCCAATCTATTATGTGATTTGGATATCTACAATGGTCGCACAAATATTTATTGTACAATTTGGTGGACGATGGTTTTCCACCGCTGCATTAAATTTGGAGCAGTGGTTGTGGTGTTTAGCTTTTGGTGTCGGTGTATTATTATGGGGTCAGGTAAATGTATTTCTTTGTTTGTGAATGCTGAGTGATTTCAGAATTACTGCAGTAATTAGAATTAGGCTGATTTTATTGTCGTATATCTTTGTAGAGAAAGGAGATATCAGATGTTTTCACTAGACTGTAGTTGACTTATAATTTTAAGCTTCAAATTTGGGGCAGATTAAGATTTTCGGGTAATGTTGTTTGGCAATGGAGGATACCAAAAGTAGGTATGAAACTTTTCAAATAGGTGATGAAGGTTTTAAATTCGGAATATAGTGCCAGTTTCAGATACATTTGCTTTTTCCTCGAAAATATCGTTAATAACTTTTAATATCATAGCTAGTGACAACGATTCCGACAGCCGGTCTGCCGAAGAATATGGCAATTGGTGGTGGTGATGTGACATCAACCGAAAATATTTTAAGTGGCGAATATGAAGATCCAGGTACACACGAAAAACGTTCGGGACAAATTTTATGGATCAGGGGATTGACTCGACTTCAAACACAGGTGATTTGTTATGTTCAGAAAAATATAATGGCGGCTGGTAGGTTTTATCCGCATATGTGTGAATTGTTTCACGTCAAAGTTTTATAGTGAATAATTTTTCATCTTTTAGCGCCTGAATACCATCATCTCAAACTTTTAGCGTTGTAAAATCTAGCAACAGTTGTATATAATTAAATGATTTAAGATATTAGTAGCAAAAGTCATTATAGTTGGTCTGATAAAGAGCTTCTCTCGCTCACCTTAAAGGCTGCAAACATTTTTATTGATTGTTGATTTTCCTATATGATTTTTCATGTCTTGCGGCGGTAGAAAAATTTTAGAAATCTCTTTTAAATTGTTTTTTTATCATTCATCAGAACTTATTTTATTCTGTAGTGATTTGCAGTATTATGTGGTGTATTCGCTGTTTTCCAAGGATGTCCTCTTTTTTTATTAATTTTTTTCTTTCCAAAATTTGTGATCCGACTACGTTGTAAATTTATTACTTGCTTCCTTTTCAGTTTGTTTTTTCGTTGTCGCATTCTTTTTTTCTAGATTTCTATCACTTTTACTAGTTATTGCTTGATCTTTTTTATTTCGCTTGTTCTACATGTTTCCACTGTTCCCCTGTTGTTGTCAAGCAGTTTGTTTGTTAGTTGGTTACTTTGTTTGTCATTCTTCGGTCTTGACTTTGGTTATTTTTTCTATGCAAAGAGAAGACCTCATTTAATATGATAATGCAGCAAATAATTCAGTCTTCTAACTTTTATTTTCAGTTTTTCACTTTTTTGAGCAGGTTGAGAACTAATCTGAAGGCGTTAGAAAAAGGGAAGTTTGGGAGATTTTTCATTTTTGTTTGATTGATTTATCAATAGTTGAAAAGAACAAAAAATTCTAGGCTTTATTTCATTTTTGTGGATTAGATAATATAATAGTTGTTAGCATCAGTTTAGCATGAAATAAAAATTGTCATTAGTTAAAACTTTATTTGACAGTCAGTAATGCGAAATATAATGTAGATTATTTCAAATAATTTCGGGTGGATGGTGCTTATTAATGTTACGTTTGAGGTATTTATCAGAAACAAAGAAATTCGAAATAATTTTTGATATAGAAAAACGTTATTGTGTTATCAACCACATTTTCTGCTGTATCGTATTCAAACAATAATGGTGGATCAGATTTTTTCATATCACTAATCTTTAATATACAAGAACTGAAGGTTATTAAATAATGTTAAAAAGACAAATTGCATGTCGTAGTAATGCTAATCACCACTTGTTTCCATTTATTTATCTAAAACGGGTAAAATTTAAAGAGACTTGTTAGTTGGTAGATGGAAAATCATCGCTACCAGCTATTGAAATCTTAGACATATATTTTGAAGAATGTATACAAAGCATTAATAGTATGTGACTTATCATTTTTGTTTTTTCTTTTGTTGTTTTACTTTTGTTCACTTTCTTATGATGATAGCTTTTGTTTGCCGTTATTCCAAGTTGTTCCTCATCATTCCCAATGTTTGCCTCGTTAAGCAAAAGACTTTTTTTAGATAAAAACTATTGTTATTATGCACTTGTTATCATTTATACATCGTTTCTGAACTTTATGGAAGTTTAGAACGTTTTTCTGGATACATCCTGACTTCATTATGGTCGTTGTTTTTGTACTTCTCTTGGGATAGTTTTATTTTCTTCGCATAATTAAGAAAAAACCCTCAGGTTTGCAAAAAATAATTTCAAAAAGAACACCTTGAGTCAGTGGTATCAAAGATAATTTTTTTTCTCTTTAATTTTGTATGTTTTAAGACCTTTAAGACTGAAATCAGTTCATTGATTTTATGCAGGAAATAATAATTTTTATCAATAATGCTTTATTTTTTTGTAAAATCAATTCCTTCTTGATTATTTACTGAAAAACTAATTGCAGTGCTTCAAATAAGTACTGATGTGCAATTATAGAGCGTTGTCATTCTTTCCGTAAAATTGTCCTTTACTTGCTATAATTTATGATATATTTGATTTTAAATAGGGTTTAAGATAAGTAAAATGCATTAAAATTTTAACGATTCTTGAAATTCAAGAAATACGCACTGAAAAATCTGTTTGAGAAATTTTAACTAAATATTTAAAAGTACTATTGTATTGAGGTACTCATTAGTTTTAATTTCTTTATTGTTCGCGAATCACATGAAGCATACTTATGTGGATCAGAAATTTTTTTATTTTTTTATGCTATCAAGAAAAACTGTAAAATTTAATCGTAAATATTTCTGTATCAAATTTTAGAGTCACACTATATTGTTTGTAATAATGTCTTTCGTTTTTCTGTGTTCCTTGGTCGTTTGGATTATAGTGTTTGCTGTCTGTTTCATTTCCATTATATGAATTAATGTAGTTTTGTGTGGTTGTCATTTGAAGATATCGTTATTTTCTATAGATTATGGTCTCCGCAATAGTGTATATTGCGTGATTAATGGCTATCAGGGATGGCATGTATATTATCTTGAAGCATGTCATTTATGTTTGCTACCTAAATTTATAAAATTTTGTTATTTTGTGTGATGTACTATTCTGATGCTCCTCCTTTAATCGAACGACTCATTCTGGTTGTCGGTTTTCGCTTTTTACTTTTCCTATCGTCAAGTAAGTTTAATGCATGTAATGTGGTTTTGCCACTCTTATTAGAAAGCTGTCTTGCAGCAAGATTGCTTAACGAGTATTATGTATGTTTTTATGTAGCACTGCATGGTTTATATTATAACGGTTGGAAACTTTTGTTAGCAGTCAAGGTGATGGGTAAAATCACTGTTTAAGATTCAGGTCGACTGATGTTAATGAGCAGCAAGCCATTATTAGTAACTTAATTTTATTCCTAGCTAACTGCTTCAATTTGTTAGAGCATATTTGATATTTTTTATGATTTTGCTTGCTTATCTTTGCTTTGTGCAGTGTGGGTATTTTTATAATTTTCATTGTTGCTTAGAAAAGAGTGTCATGGGGTTTAGATAGGTTAGGCTGATTATTTATAGTACTGCTTTTAATAAATTTGTTCATTTTTTGTAACGGTTATCCCCTTTCTATCCAACAGTCTAATAATGGTTCTATTGTTTATCAAGAGCTCCAAACTTTAATATGCTTTTCAACAAAACAAAAGTTTAACTAAGAGATTCATTAAGCTTCTCGTTAAGACACTGATAATATCATTGAAAGTCATAGTAACCAGTGATAAACAAAAGTTTATTACTATGCAACAAAAAAACGAGATTTTTAAAAGGTATACTAGCAAATAAGAATTAGTAAGTAATGTATTTATGATAAAAGTGAATAGTAATCTTATTGTTAAAATGGCTGATTGCTGGTGTTTCTCAGTAGTTGGATTGTTTGTTTGAATAAGTTTTGCTTCTTTAAATAGTATTATAATTGCGTAACTACTTATTCGATTGTTATCATTATTATTTACTTTCCGAGTTTTTTTCTTTTTTCTTTCTTTTTTCTGCAAAACGCTTTTTTTTCTACAGCTTCGCGTTGTGAAAGCATTTCGATCATCCTTGGACGAATTCGAGGAGAAGCGTTCCATTGCCAGTACTCAGTCATGTAATTCGATGCGTGGTGCAGCAGGTGCTGGATGGTCTTATTTGTCGTTATCAGGCATAAGTGTCTCGCGTCCATCTTCATGTGTGGGACCATTACCAAGTTACACACGTGCTCCATTAGTAAAATTAATGCAGCTTGCCAGTTTCCCTCAACCTTATCCTTACTATCATTCACAACAATCTTGTGCCAGTGTTGCAACTGCAGCCAACTTCGTTAACCCTGTTATGAATAATGTTCAACTAACAAAAGCATCGGATGATGGCCATGATTTGATGACTGATGCCGTAATCCATTTTGAGCAGCAGATGGTTACAACTTCATCTGCAGCACATATAAAAAGTAAACAATTTGAGAAAGTACCATTGGTGCAGCGGTGGCGACCATCTCGTGATTCAAGTTATTCACAGAAGATTGGTAAAAGTGTTTCACTGGACGCACCAGTTTCAGTTGCTCATGTTTAATTATTTACCTTTTTGACATTTTTTCTGTTTCATAGACCTAAGAATCTTCTCTCCATTACCGGAGTTTCATTTCGTATATTATCTGATGCAAGTTAATTTATAGATTGTTTGTTAGTTTGGATGTTTTTGTTGTCGTTACATGTTGCTCTAAACTATTCGCGTCAGATGTCTTTTTCTTTATCAGTTGTGCATATTCATTTATAGATAATAATATATAATTATGTTTGGAATATCTTAGTAAAAAAATTGCCTCGTTCTAATTTGTCCTCTGATCAGCTATATGAAATATTTTGTAAGAATTGTAATACAAAAAGTAATGAATAGAAAAATTTTTTCCATCTTGTTATTTTTCTTCTTACTTGAGAATGAAAAGAGGGACCAGAATAAGTATGTTAGCGTATCAGTTTGTCTTATGTATTAGGGAAGTCTGTGTTTGTCTAATGTGATGCGACTTTAAATAACTTTGCAGCATTAATTAGTTGTCAATTTGTTCATCAAATTGTTAAAATTAGTTTATTTTTCTTAACCAGTCATCTCCAAACAGTGGAAGTTGTGAAACGTGCAAATTCTATTTGACAATGCAATTTTTTTGCAGTTCAACTGCATGCAGGTATTTTTCCTTCAGTTTTGCTTTTTTAATAATTCGTTTTTTATTTAAAAAATAAAGTGACATCATTTGGTGTTATAGCTATTTTTTGGCTATTCTGATGTGAGCTTTTTTTCCAATCATCTCTTCACTGCCATCAGTGTAGTTTTATGAATGTCGTGGAGAAAAAACAACGTTTTTATTTGATGAGTTGATTGGTGATAGTGTACAGCATTATTTTCTATCAAAGTGTCGAAAGAAAATGCTTGAAATTAATGTTTTTAGCTGAATATTTTGTGGATCTTACTGAAGTTAATTTTAGATCATCTTAGGATACAGTTTTAAGAATAGTCTTTGTACCCAAAAATGCTATTAATGACGAGTATTTTTGGAATATTTGGGCATGTAACCTTGGTAGATAATTGATGATCTGGTATATAAGCATAAGATACAAAGGCTGCTCGATTTCTTCCATTTTTTAATTTCTTGACAAGTGGAAAGCGGAGCCTTCTCTTCTGTATTATATATTTGTTGTTGTTTGCTCAGATTTCTGTGAGTTTCTTCTATATATGTTGCCATTGCATGAAATGGGCTTCTTGAACTCATCATTTTTGCATAACAATGTAGCGCAAATTGGTTCTGTCGTTCACATTCTGAAAAGTTCTTATTTTTGTCTGCTTTAAAGCAGATTCAATTTTGACAGTTTGTTTTCATTCAGCATTGACTTGGATATGGTTCTGAAATCCTAGTGAATTAAATTAGATTTTCGTGTATAACTTGAATTATTTCGTACCAGTGCTCGTAGAATTCATTCATAAGCGCTTGTAAGAAATGAATGATCGATATTTGGAAAGTTTTAATTTTTGTTTAATGGTAATCGCAGTATATGTTTTTTTTAATTTTTGCTTTCCTGCCAGTCTTTTTTCTCATTATGCAGATGATTATCCAGTATTTATTCGCTTGGCAATTAATTCTTTTTGATTACAGTTATCGTTGTGTTAGGTCATAAATATTTTTTATGTTGTAGATTGTTTCACAACAACTACGACCTCTATTTTTTTCTCTTAGAATTGATAGGAATTTTCTTAAAGAACATGACTTTTTTTGTTTCTGGTAGTGTCTTGTAATGAATTGTGATCACATTTGTGTTTTCTAAATCATGAAAGTTTTTATTAGTAATAAATTACAAATTTTCTAGTTTGTTGTGGTAATATTATATGATTAAATTAGTTTTATAATCATTGTTAGGAGAACTTTGTTGAAAAAAATATGACATCGCACGGTATGGTACAGTTTCAGACTTGATGGCTTGCTCATTTAATTATAATTCATTTTCTCATTTAAATAATCCTAAATATGGAAAGATTTAGTTTGTTGAAAAAATAAATTTCCTATGTGACTTAAAGAAGTCGCCATGATATATCTCAACACTCTTGCTTTGCGGATATAAAATAGATAAGAAATAGTGTAGGCGGAGGTGATATGGAATATAGGCTTATTTTTTTTAGTATTTTCGTTCTATTCTTAAACCTTGTTTTCATATAAAATATATTACATGGAGTAGCGAATAAATGTTAATTCGTATATAAGTCGTATATTTTTTTCTATCCGGATTTAATTTATATTTCTCCTCTTGAAAATATTGGTTCACGGCGTACTCAAAAATTAGTCCTGGAGTGCATAACTTTCAAAAAATTTAACTAATAAAGTGCGAATGTGACATTTTCGGATACATGATTTTGATGAGAATCTTCATGTATCCACACGAAATTTGTCAATTATAGAAATCCCATTGTTTGCAATTATATATATATACTATGATAAAGTAGTAATTTAGAAATGGAAAATAGCAGTCTAAATTTTTTATAGAAAATACTTTTGGGAAGAAGAAATTTGCAGGAGGTAAAGTCGTTGCAGAAGGCATTATTCTTTCACATGGATCATGAGGAACAGAAAAAGATACATATGGTGGTTTTATTTGGTGCTCATTTAAAATTGTGAATGTGACGTTCATGTTACAGAAAAAGCTAAAGAACGGAGGGATGGAAAAGTTTTTATACAGTTTAAGATATGAGAAGAATATCTTTGCTTGCATTGCAAATATAAAAATTGACCAAATGAACTCTACTTGTCTGGTTTCATGCTATTAAACAGTGAGACAGATAAACGGACTTTTGTATTGTTAGCAACTTGATGTAAGATTATTATTATTCTGAGAATATCAAATTCTGTTAATCGAAGGGAGATGTTCAGTGTAACGTTTTGTGATATATTTTATAAACTTTCCTGGTATCTCACGATTGCAGGTTATCGGCGGGGAAATGGCCGATCGTTTAATACCGGTACCGCTCAGTTCAGCGCCAACCGACCAGGCTGTAAGCGCAAAAGCACAGTATTTTGGTTTCATGACCACTCTAAAAATTAGTCTCTTTAATTACGTGATCACCTTTTAGGATGACCAAGTTTTTCATACTCAAAATTTATTTTTTTTAGTGAAGACGGAATCCTTAAAATTGTGCAAAGCATTAATCGAAGCATTCCTTATCCCTTTTACTTCTGACATTTTTCTCCATGAAACGGAAAACGATACTGTTGCTTTGAAGATTAGAACTTTGTAGAAAATATTGTGCGAACTTTTAGTTTTTGTCTCTGAAAATTCATTATTCCAATTTTCATCACAGTTTTATTGTAAAGTTGCACGGTTTGTGGTGTATATATATTGCGCTGTGCTGTGGTTGGTTGCTGCGTGCATTGTGTGGTTCCATCAATTATTATTCTCATTATTATATTTATTATTATTATTATTAATTATTATGTTATAGTAATAAATCGTTACTATCATTTTTTTATTATTATTTGTTACTATTATTACTGTTATTATTTATTTTTATTGTTATTATCATTTTTATCGTCATTAGCTCAATTGAAAATAGATAACAACTTATAATCTTTATATATTTAAACTAACAATAGTTGTAAACTGTGACAGTTTGTTGTTCGCATTTGTTGTTTCTTTAGTATTATTTGATTTCAACGCCAGTTTTTTGATTTATTTTTTCAGTTGCTCTTTTGTGTGGTTTTATTAATTTTCTCAGTTAGTTTCCTGTCAACTGCTGAAACAGCCGTTTTATTTTATTTAGAAGTAGAATTCATTCATCTTTTAAGTTAATTTCGTAAACTTCTGTTGCATATTTGATACATTGCACGCGGATAGATATTTGCAAATATCTAGCAGTTAAAGAAATTCACACGGATGAATGATATTAATACAAGTTTTTATTCCTCATAGCATTTTCCATAATTATTTGTCCGACACTGCGAGAAAAGTATTTATGCAACTCAACGTTTTACCGTTTTTAGTAATTTTGAACAGCTGATTTGATGAATAGCGATTGCAAGCTGAGTGGTGGGAGACCTTGAGTTTCTTTCACTGATATTTTATGTCTTAGTCTTATGTACTATCACGTAAGTGAAGTATTTAATTTGTCAATTTCCGTAAGTTTTGTACTGTTTTTCTAATTACTCATTTAAGTTCCGTTTCTTTCAAAAAATATGATATTTCAATTCTTTTATTCAGGTCCTTTGAATTAATTTCATTACGTAGTCTATTTTTAGTCGCAGTCAAACTATGGTAATTAACTTCTTCACTTGAACAAGTTCTGCATTTTTTTCCAAGTTGGAACGAGGAATAAATCCAGTACATATAGTTTCTTTACTTAAAATTGGACAACATCATAATTCTTTTATTTACATAGGTGTAAATTTTTGTTTGACTTTTCACTAATTTTGTTTATATTTTATCAGAAAATATCAAAATTTTTTTGTATTGTATCTTGTTTGAATTCACTTTTTTGACTTGTAAGTAAGTTCATTGCGTCGTCAATTTTTTTAATTATCTCATTTTTTAAATGACTATTTTACATTTTGCTAATTCAATTTGATTTTGAGACAAGTTATTTTACCTTGGTTTTTTTTTATTTTGTTTGATTATTTGAATGACGATTATTTGGAGAGTAAATTTCAGTTAATTTCTAGTGCAGTGTTGAAAAATGTTGTTTAGTGAAATTTAGCTATTGTTATTGCTATCGTTGTTGCTGTCGCTGTCATCGCTGCTACTGATACTGTGCTGCTGTTGCAAGGGATGTATATGTATGTTCGTTTTATTCATCTGCGTTTTTCATCAGGAATGTTCATTTTTTCAGATTCGTGTGGTTAAAGCATTTCAAGCTGGCTTAGATCGTCGGGAGCCATCATTAACTGGGCCAAGTGCCGCACGTTTACGTGAAATTAGTCGACAGCTGAAATTGCAAGTAGAACAGGAAGGAAAAGGTACGGTTTGCTAAAAATAAGTAGTCGTATTAATTGCCTTTGTACACATTGCTTATTTTCTTTTCGCATTCCTTGTTTAGTCCTTGAAAAAGCGATAGATGTGTAAGGTTAGTGGAACTTTCTACTGATCACCCATAGAACGAGAACATTTTGCAAAATGGAATTAATATTTCTTGTGTAAAGTACAGAAGTAGAGTGAAAAAAATATTGATAAATAGTAAATAAATTCATATTTAGGCATTTCTTTACGATCAGGTTCACGACCATCAAAGCAGTTTGAAGCGTTGTCATCCGTATAAGATGTTAATGTAATCCTGTCTGATATCTATGAGTGGTGGAGGAGTTAAAATAGATGTTTGTTTCTAAATAGTAAATACTCAGCGATTGCCTCATCCCTTCTTTTTCCCTCTATTGCTGGAGACATATGTTGATTTGAAATGTTGCCCCATCCATATAAATTTGTTTTCATCTTCCACTCTTTCATACTATAAGCATTGAGATACTATGAGATAAGTAAATGTAATTTTATGTATGAGTTGTGTGTGCGTGTGTGTGTAGTGTTCGCAACTTTGTCTGCCTTAATTTCCGGTTGTAAGTTATTTCTTTAGCACCATGCAGTTAATACAATTAGCTCTTCTCACTGTGTTACTGTACTTTTTTGTTGGAAAATTAGAGTTAAAAAGTGTGAATGATCTTTTTGCCATAAATTCCTTCAATCAACAATCACTTCTTTCATTTTAAGACCTTAGCATGAAAAATTTGAACCAAAAAATCTTCACTTTTCTCTATTATCAAACCGAATAGCCGTTCATTCATCTGAATATATGAATATATCATCTTTCCCTGGTGATTTTATTTTTGCTAATTTTATTAGTCGTTGATTTCATTTTTTCTTACTTCACTCAACGTCAGTAATCATTTATGTAGCGATTTTTTTTTGGTGTTGGTTATGTGTAGTTGCCAAAAATTATGCTTATTAAAAAGTAACAGCTTTTTTCCTTTCTTTTAATAATACTTTTAAGTTTAGCTTTCTGCTTTTAAATTTGTTTCATTGGCTAAGCAAGTAACCGATCAGCCAATGAAACATGTGTTCTATCATTCTTAATACTGCTAGTTCGCATCAATATTTTTGTTCCGTAATTATTTTTATTCAATTTTTTTCTCATTAAAAGAATCTTTTTCACTGCATATTATCTTTTCTTTCTCTAATATTAAAGTTTTTCCGCAATGGCATTGATCTGAAATCTGCACTTCATTTATTTTTGATGAACAAATTTGTTAAAATTGCACTCAACGCAAAAAAAAATATGCCAAGTAGTTTTGGTATTATGATTGCAGATATGCAAAGGAATAATTCATTGCATAAAAATCTCTATTTACAATGTTTGTTTCATTTTGCAATCAATTAGAACTACGGATTTAATCTAGTAAAAAAAGTTTTTGACTTATGTCTCTTTCACTGTGTTAGTATTTATTTTTTCTTGTAGTCTTTTTGCTCATTTTCATTCTGCTAGGCTACATGTATCTTTTGCTTCATTTGATTTGTGACTGTTAATATGACCATGTTTGTCTTTCCAACGAAATCCAAAACATAATTTTTCATTATTGTTAAGAATAGTCATAAAATTGTCCTCAGTTGTCTGAATGAAATAAAATTAGAAGTATTGCAAAGTAGAATTTATTTGCATCAATTCCGTTAGAAATATTAATGCTGCAAATTTGTTTTTTCCATGCATAAAGTTTTATTGAAGCGATAATATATCTGATAGAGAATTTGGCTCTAATTATTTGTTTGTTGCTTTGCTTATGATTTCCTTTGGATCATTGATGAAGTGAATGAAGACTATTTCCTGACAACTGCTGTACGCTGGTAATATTGTGAAGGACAATTTATATTTCATCTCAATTATCGTTTCTTGTCTTTATCGTTCGAGAACAAACTTTATTCAAAGTGACACATATTCTCGTGGGTGACCATGAATTTCTTATTCTGATTACTCCTCCAAATTACTAATAACATTCTCACGGTTTGCAGAAAAATGATTGCAAGCTCTGTAGGTAATGTTTGCTGTTATTGAGATTTTGATCTTCCAACATTTCATTCAAATACATTGTAGAGAAAACTTTTCATCTTAATGCATCCAGTTAAACACGAAGAAACCTGCATATATTCTAAACAGTCATTAATGAAGAAATCACATTTTTTGGTTGCTGAAAAAAAAGCAATATTGGAAGCAGTATGTATATTCATAGGGCTTACGACTTTCGTAAAGGCAAAATTTTGGTATGTTGCATAGTTAGTATGAACGATAAACAGAATTAACTTTTCTTGTTGAGATCGCTTTTCACTGCCAGCGATGAGTATACTATTTGAGAATAATGAAATTTATTCAGATCATATGGTAAGATGGATAAGGCTAAGTCACTGCATGGCAATACATACTTAGTGTTTATTGCATATGAAGCAGATAGTAATGGAAGAGAGAAGAATATTTCGTCAACCTTCATTTGATTAATGAATATAGTTCAACATGCAAACATAGAGTATCTTGAATCATACTTGAGCGTGCATATCATAAATTATTCTCCACTAGCTAAAAAAGAAAAATATGCCATCAAGAAATTCCAAAGTCATCGTTTTGAAAGCTTATTTCTACAAAACATTGCCATTGTCCAACTAAGATAATTAAACAAAAGAGATTTTAGAAAACTTAAAGCTCTTTGGCTTCTTATTGATAGCAAGGAAGAATACCAGATTTGCAATTTTTGACTTATTCCTGACTTTACAAATAATAGAGCTTGGCAGTGCTTCATTGTGAAGTTACAACGTGCAATGAACTCAAACTGAGATATGGGACTTTATCACGCATCAATAATGATATTCTGAAAATAGAAAATGCTTGTAACCACACAGTGCATTACAAAACAACCATATTACAGGATGAAGTCGATTCCTCTTCCTCAGCAATAGCAATTACTTCGGATTCCTGAAATTCAGAGATTACCCGCGAGAAAAAAGCTAAAATTTTTCATTGCTTTCTACTGCTTGTTCCATGAAATATTTGGAAGTTTTAGCTTTGATGCACATCCTACACTTCTGAATAACAGATTTTTTCCCATTCAACTTGAAAGCTAAACAAACTACAAACAAACTACAACAACTGCAACATATACTAATCATGCAGATTGTGTATTTAACAAAACACATACTTTAGTAGCATGTACTGAACTAGAAGATGGAGCACCGCTTGTTGCACTGACTTCTTTTTCATCTCCGACTGATTTATTTGATTGTTTTATCATATTCAATGCATTTTCCAATAAGGCATCTACTTCCATCGTCATTGAATGATCAACTCCGAAAGTGAATTTCAAAATTTCATATGCCATTTTACAATAATTTAATGCTTGGTGGGGCTGATTACATCTGAAGTTTTTTCGCCGAATTTAAAAAGAAGTTGAATGACAAATAATTACACTGATTGTGGTCATAATTTACAAACCTTAGATAAAAAGATCCAATGCTCCGATAATGAATACCGACAGCAGGGTGATTGTATGGAAAACAAAAGCGCACACATTCTTCTGATTCTAGATGTAAATCTAGTAATTTCTGAGATTCCGAAGCATCAATCAGTGGAATCAACAACTGCAGTGGTCAGAATTAGTACCAAGTATTTTCACTGATTTTTAAAGTTCGAAAAGAATTTTAATCATTTGTCAAAATAATCAGCTATTTTCATATTACACAGCTCATCACATTAATGGTTTATTACTTTTTCAAAGAAAACAAAAAAGAACTAATTAGTAGACATTGGCATGAATATTGACGTAAACCTGAATGATTTTGCAGAAAAACACATTGATTCTGGGTAAAATTGTACTAATGCGGTTCTTGAAATTTGTTAAAAACTGAATTGCTTTCTCCTTTGACATCTAAAGTACAGTAATAGCAAATTTATTATTCACTTAACAAACAGTACTGAAACATAGAGGTTAGAAAAAAGAAAATCTGAATTTACAGACAATTATTTAGGTTTGCATATGTATTCTTTAGTTTAAAAAAAATACTCAGACTCTTCTCAAACAATCAGACTTATGCTTAAACCTAAGTAGTAGATATAACAACAACGATACTTTTCAACTGCAACTATTTTTGCCAAATTATGAATCGTTTTGTAAAATAAAGATAAACCTCATTGCAACATTCTGTAACTCTAGAGATAGAGCGCATAGCTGCTATTGCTTCTAGAACGTATTCTGGAGGTACTTTCATATGGCACTTTGGACAAGTAATTATCTGACTAATCTTATCTTTGCAAGGCATATTACCATGTAAGCACAAACGTTCGCGCTCCTCCTATAAATTTAGAACCCAAAGACCAAATGTGAAAAATTAAGAAAAAAATTTAGAACTAGTAAAATACTACGATAGTTTTTCATAGTACCACAAAAACCCTAAGAAATGAAGCACAAATTTACTGGACAATTCGGACATAAGATGGATGACAAGAGTGACTCATTAGGGCTATCACAACGTTCGCAGTGACACTCAAAATACCATGTATCTCTCAACATAATGCGCCTCTCCTGTGTCGTACTGCAAGAATCAAAGACAAATTAAAAAAATATAAGTATTTATAACAAACTTTGATCTACAAAGTAATAAGAAATGTTCAAAGTCAAGTCTTTAAAATAAAAATGATGTAAAAGACATAAAAGCAAATGAACTTCGCAACAACAAAATCACATCGTAAGAATTCCAAGAATACTTACTTCACTAAATCTATATAAGAATAATGAGTTGTACTAAGATCCTGCAAATTAACTCCGTCGGTAAGACTTCTCAAAGTAGCTACAAAGCCATTACAAGTATATATAGCATTAGGACGACAGCTATGATCGTAAGCACATAAGTCCAGATATAAACCTTTTCCAATTTCCTGAAAAAATTTTGTCGCTATAAGACAGCTTTCTTGATTATGTAAGCAAACGATTTCAATTTTTTATCATCCCAGAAAGATTTAATAAAAATTTTTTTAAGATAACAAAGCAGAAGCACCACTTCTATATTAAAAAATTGAAAGACTCAATCAGGTTATCCGAGCTATATCGTCAACAGAATGAATTGAAACCCGTGTTACTGATTTTCAAGTTTTTACTGGCATTCAGATGTCGCGCCGCGCGAGGTAGGCTATAAATAAAGTGGGTTTCTGAAGCAAATTGGTATAAAATAATTTACTTCAGTGTACTCGGAATCACTGATTGCATGCCGATTAATATAGTTTCTGCAGTGCAGCTCGAATACTTCATTCCTACTGACCATAGCTTTTGATCCATAGAAAGCGAGAAGATTACCATATATTTCTTCAAATTACTCTTTACTTATTTAATTCATATCATTATATATGCAAACAAAATTCTATACGCATTAACACTTTTGAATGTAGTAACATGGATGTTAAAAGTGCAAAAGAAATATTCTAAAATATGGAGGCTTTAATCCTATAAAACTAGTAAATACTTTAGTTAGTTTTCAGTAGCAATGCTCACCATTGAATTTTTTCATTGAAGCAGGATCTTGACTAACACGATCAATATGCGACCAAATATCTAAAATTGATCGCTTTGATACACGATCAGTGTAGAAATCGCTATTTTTGTCCTTTCCCAATTTAATTGCCTAAATTACATTACTTGTCACATTGAGGTAGGCATATACAAAAATTTATATTAATTTCAGCAAATGAAAACTGAAAATCTTTAACGCAAGTTTTAATCTAGACTGATCTTAAAAAGCATAATACCTTGTAACGAGCTACGATTCTGCCGAGCAACCGAACTTCAATATTTGGAACAATTTTAACTATTTTCAAAGCTTTGCATTCTGATCGATGATCCTTCCATCCCAAAGTTTGACAGTTCTCGTTGCAGAACAATCCTTTGTAACATGCGCGACAACGTCTAAAAAATTGGCAAACAAATGACTATAACCGAAGTCTAGAATTCGATAAAACACTTTAAAATTTGAATTTGCTTATATGCTTTTTTCAAAGCACCGCAAATATTTCCTAACAGATTATAATAAGCTGAAAGTCGAAAATACCAAAATTTGAGTATAAATGAAAAATAAGAATGTTTTGATAAAAAGAACGTAAAAATTACTTAAGTTTATCCGTTTTAGCAAGACAATACCAGCATCTGCTTGAAAGCTGATCATCATGAAGCGCGTATGCAAATGGATAGAAATTCATTCTATGTAAGTGGTTATCATGTTCACTCTCTTTTACACACAGATTAATTTCACCATCAATTCTAGTACCACTATTTTCATTGTTTTCTTCAGCACGGACTTGGCCTACCACTTCAATCTAAATATTTTCTAATAACAGATATCTTTAACAAAGCGTACAAAAAATGAAAAAACGTACTATTTAGTTTTAAATATTTAATGCTACATTCATATTAACAAAACATTAGTACACACCATTTCGTTATTTCATTCAGTTAAAAGTTGAATTAAATGACAACAACTATAAGAAGACGTTCCCTTCTTCTAATCAAAAAGTACAAATGAGGATTGATAATGCAAAAATTACAATGATGTAATTGAACCTGATTAGTAATATCAATAGACTGCTGTGATTGATGGTTTGTTCCAGCACGACGATGTTGCTTCTTCTTTTTCTTCGCCATCAAGATACTAGCTACTTCAAGTTTAAGAATGCCAACAAACCTGTCTGGCCCGAATTCCCTCTCTAAAATACCACTTCTTTATGCAATCATTCCAGCTACCCACCTAGCTATCTGTCTAATCTGTCTATCCATTTGTCTACCTCTTCTTCTCTCATCTATTAATGATGTCCCACATAGTTACCAACTCTACTGCTATCACCATTAACTAAAATCTTGTACGAAAAGATTGCATTTCGTTGTCTCCATGCTCTACCTCTGGTGGCGAGACACAATCTGCAGCAGGCACCTATTTGACGTCTCACTCACTACTCATCTTCTCTGCTAGCAATCTGCAGAATTAACTCGGTGTTAAAAGTGGTATCCAATTCGATAAAGATGTTTTATTAGAGAGCATAACTGTGCAACAGTAGATAAAGTAGAGAGAAAAACTCTACTGTTACAGCCTAAACCTAAAGTGTCACTCGCATAGAGGAGAGGAGTGCGCAGACTGCTGTTACATTCAAACAATGCTATGTGAGGTTTTCATTACGAAATCCAAAATTGGTTGTAGCTAATATATATCACAATTAAAGAAATCAATGCTTCTCACCGTACTTGTAGCCATCATGAAATGAAGAGAAGGATAATACATGCAGCGTGTTTAACATGGGCAAAATGTTTGCAAAATTAGCATCTAGCATTTTTACAAAAGGTGCGAGCAAGAAAGTATGACCTACTGCAATATGGTTATGTGATAAGAAAAACTGCAAAATTCTGTGTTCTCCTATATGAGTTATTATATGAGTTTATAACTAAACAACGGAAGAGATGCTACAGTCTCAACAGTTTTCCGCTAGCCCCACACTTCTATCGTTTTTTTCCAAAGATTAAACAAGAGATGAGACAAGAAGGTGGGCGAAGTATGTGTGCAAAGGCAGTTAATACCATTATTCATTCTAGCGAGCTCTAAGCAAACCAACCTTTTCCTTCTTGTTTAACTTGTGATTACAGATGTCGACTGATTCTACGTAAACGTGTGGCACTCGGCCTAGTCAGTTATGGCTCCTGATGTGATGATTCGATAATTCTTGGTAAACAAACACTACCTAAAATAGATCAGCAATTCAGCAAGTTCCCTATTCAAGTCCTCACTACATCAGCAGTAGTGTATCAAATGCGACCATGAAGCATATCACGCATACGTCTGATAACCGTCATCCTCCATCAAGTAGCATAATGTGTCGATGTTCATACTATATAATTATTGAACTATCAATTATTTACTGCTACGTTGCACATCAGGAACAAATCACATTGCTGAGCATAGGTATTTTACTAAGAATACCGTATTACTCTTAAGTACATAATTTTCTGATCTCTTCTTTGATAGTCATAAATTACAACTTCTGATTAGCCTTAACGATATTCTTTTTTGCTTATGAAAAAAAATATTCTTTTTTTCATCATAAGGAGTTATTTTCTTAGTCAATGTTGTCACAATCATTGAGTCATCATGAAAACCTTCGATTCTATCATTTATGTGGATTGTACTTCTAGGCTTTTCATATTTTTATTTCATTTTTTTCAAATAATTCATTGCTACAGTTTTCTGTACATAATTCATCTGTATTGTGGCAAACATTCTAGCAAAATGAAAAACATGTCCACAATTTTCTGCTTAGAGCTGAATAGATTACCGGTTCAAATTGTAATTGGTCGATTAAAAAACCCTGAATTTGATGCACTGAATGTAGTGTTGTGCAAAAATTCTAAGATGTAATAATGTGGATTTAACATGCTCTTCAAGTTTGAATTAACAATTTGATGATGATATAGAAAGCTATTCAATGTTTGAAAACTATTAACCATTATGGCGACACTTCCAATTCCATGGGCATTGCTAGAAATTGTCTCTCTTCGGGTAACATTTTTGGATTGAGTGAATGACTTTTCAGAAAATGAATGCTGTTTAAATTCGAGATTTCATTAAAAATTGTTAACCAGATGTTGGTTGTAGAAAAAAATAGTGGTATTTAAAGAATGATCTCTAGATGAAAAATTTTTAAAAATTAATCAGATTACAGCGCTTGAGGAACAACAAATTTTTAAATTAGAAGAGACTTGGGAGCATTCATCAGTTTCAAGCAAAACAGTATTGTCTGAAATTGCTCAGTTGTAGGAGTTTCATCCTCAGGTTCATATCCGGTCAATAAAGTTTCTAAACATCAAAATATCACTGTTTTGGTATGAGATATCAGTTTGTCTTGTATCTTACTGTAACCGGCAGCTTTTAGTTTCCTTGTTACTATAATAAGATTTAATTCCACGTAGATTATTTAAAGAAAATCCAAACATTTAGAATCGCTCTATTGCCGTCACTCCATCGAAGAGGAATTTTTCATCTCACAGTTAGATAATATATCATTGAACGCAACTTCAGATTATTAAATGCATTAACACTTCACTGCAATGAAAATTTAAGTCAACATATGATTCAAATAGTTTGTGAAAATAGTTTCTAGAAATTGCTGATTGGATTTGTAAATAATTATACCATAGGATTTAACACAAGATCTTGTAACGATTGGTGAAGGCGACTGATGAGAGTGATAGCACTCAAGTAAACCGTTCTGTGATACGATTCAGACAGAACATTGATGCTCTTTGTGGTTTCTTACGGGCTTACTTTTTATGCGGGTGGTTTCTTACGGGCTCACTTTTTATGTTTTGAAGTTGATTCATACTAATTATCACTGATAGGATTTTCTGTCGATCTGAGAGACATTTAAAAAATTGAATTTTGCATTTAAAAAATTGAATTTTGTACTCAAATAATGATTGACTTTTATTTTCGTGTGTTATAGATCATTGTCAGAACGAGGAAAAAATCCATTTCAAGGAGATTGTTTGGTATGCATGGAACTGATGAATGTATTTCTTTGAAATTTTCTACAAAACAGTTAATAACAGTACTCGACGGTTTTTGACGAATACATGGCAATATTACAGTGTCAGTAAGTTGCTTCTAAACTATCATTTATATTAAACGATGCAAGAGAATAACAAATTGATAGTATACGCTAGACGGAGATTTAAGTAATTAACCACATAGTAGTAAAGATGCTACGTTGACGTTGTGGTGTGGTAATCCTTTATTTGTTGGATCGGTTATCCAGAACCTCGATTTTCATTACATTTAATCACAAATTGCGATTGAGTAAAAATAAATGAATCATTTTCGAAAGCATACATAATCATTCAGATGGGAAGAAGACGGAAACTTATGCTTAGTTGCAAATAGAATTCGCATTTGCAAGTCACTGTAATTGTTTTTGAAATAGTCATAGATTACGTTTACTCTATGCGAAGTACTAATTTTATCCGCATTGAGGAGTTGCAATGCGAAGACCGACTTTCAAATTCGTTTGGATGCCTCATGAATCATGATAATAATTTTTGGTTTATAATTTCCACCACATTTCATTTTGCTTTGCTTTGTGTTCTAATGAACAGGACTATCAATATTTCACAATCAATCCAGTTAATGCATAATTTTAGATTCTCTAAGCTTTAAGTCATCTCAAGAATGAAATCAAAATTATATATCAGAATAGAGTTTTCTGATTACAAAAGTTTGCAGTGGAAGTGCATTTATATTTTGAGGATAGTTGTGGTCCTTTCTTAAGCAGTTGCTGTCATATTTCGTCTTAAATTATGTGATTCAAGTGTTAAACATTTATTTCACTCATGCATTTGTTGAATTGTTTGTGGATAAAAATATAATTTGGGGTTGATCTATATGAAGACTTCAAGTTCCGCTTCGAATTTACTAATGGGTATGGCTTTATTAGCATGTAGAAATATATTAACTTGTGAAAAGCCATAATTATAAAAATTACTTTTACCCAGCCTTAATCATTGTCAATGTTCAAAGATTTTCACTTTTTCCGAAATGTAAAGCTGTCCAATATTTTGTTTAATTCGCAAGGTGATATTTCACTTTGTGATTTTGGAATATCTGGTTATTTAGTCAATTCTGTAGTGCAGACGCGGGAGGTGGGATACCCATCATATATGGCTGTTAATTTTTGTGCTTACATGCGAGTTACCAATGTGCTTCGTTTTGATGTTCAAGCAATAGCGTAACTGAATTATTTGTGGACAAAAATAAAATTTGGAGTTAATATATTCCAAACTAACTTCAGTTCAGTTTTCATTAGTTTGATTGGAATTTCCGTTTTTGTATTTGATCTACTGTTGCTGATTTTTGTATTTCTGATGTATGTATGTTTCAGATTTTTTTGCAAGCTATTTTTCAAATTGCTTGCAAAAAAATCTAAAAGATTACTATACTGCATATGATATTCGTTCCGAGGTTTGGAGCCTAAACATTAGTTTAGTAAAACTGCTACTCCAAAACTGTATTATATTGCTTAATTCATTGCTTAGATAAAGACATAGGAAAGTCTTTGATGTGAGACATTCATTGTACATAGTTCTACTTGATGAAATCGCATGAGGATTTATATTTTTCAAGCAAGAAGTAGCACTCGCGGTCTTTCCATATCCAAGATTTAATGAAAATGAGCTAGCTATTCGTACAATTACAAGTAATTTACGGCTATGCTTCTATAATAATCCCATCATATATGTATTAAATAAAACAATTCAGTTCATCAATTCCTGGTGATTTTTCTTTGTTTGCTTAGTATTCACATAATTTTGGATTGATTCTGCTTTTTAATCTACAGATTTTGATTTCACTGATTGTAGTGTAATGATTGAGAGCCTTGTGAAAGCAAGAGAAACTTGGCCTAACTATGCATTAATTATGGATACACAAATTTTTCAAATAATATGGTGGCCTGGATGATGTCTCACAGTATGCTGTCAATTACGTGCAAGAGGTGTTAAATGTGCGAAAAGCTTATAGTCTATACTCTTCCAATTTACCTTTCTCATTATCAATTACTAGGTATTTGTGCCAGTGTTGAGCGCTCTAATCCTCTAAATAATTTTCCAGTTGTAAGTTCCATATTGTACGTGTGAAATTTTTATCTAATCCAAAGTTCGAGCAAAGTATAGTTCTTTTCAATTTTTAATTTGAAGTATCAGAAGATACAAAGCGTTGAAGTTATGAGCCGTGTTTTTTTCCTGCTCTTTTGCTGAGGAAATCTTGCAAATAAATCTGAAGTATTTACAATTCATAAAAATACAGTTTTAATTTTCATAGCGGTTTCTTGCATCAGACTAAAAATTTATTAGGAAATATTGACTCAGTCGATTAGCCTATTGCATTTCATGTAATGTAAAAATTTGGCGGCGATATTTTGCTACAGATAATACGGTTATTGCTGGAGACCTGGTGCCTAACCCATTTCAGTGTCTTCACCTTCGTAAGTATTACTTAAACATCCAAAATCTGTGTTTGTTCTTTAATTCATGAAGCACTTTGTATCTTCTTTCTTCGGTTCATTTCGTTATTTTGTGAAGATAATAATTAAGCGCAATGAACACAATGTTGTTTCCAGTTCATAATAAATTAAAGAGCGAGCATAGAAAATGTAGAGAATTTAATGTTTTTTACTTCTGTACTTCATCCTTGGCTGGGCTGATAAAATGTTTTTCTCTAGAAATTTGTCTAAGACTGCAGCAAAACGAATAAACTTCAAAAAAATGATTACTGTCGTATTCATATTAGATTTACATAAATGATAAAATCCTAATGAACTGATAAAAGGAGACGAAAATAGCCGTTTGTTTAATCTTTCTCAAGGTCTTTATTCATGTTGCCGATTCATTTTTCATTTTGAAAAAGCTTCTACAATTTTCCCACTTATTCTTGTCATAGTTTGCGAATAAACTTGATGGTTTGCTCTAGTTCATTCTGCATTACTTTACATTTATAAGATTATATGTTCTTGCTTCGAAGAATTGTTTCATTGCTATAATTTTTTCAGATCAATTTGTGAATTAAAGGACTTTGTTAATTTATACTGTTGAATTTAAAAAAGCTCTTAGTAAAGTTGGCGAAATGTGACATCATAGTTGTTAAGCTGTCAAAACAAGAGAAATCAGTTGCCTTCCAGTAGTAAAGTTGTGTTGGTGAATTCATAACTTTTGACTGACTTTCACTTATAGATATCGTACAAATCGAATTTCAAAAATGAATTTAACAAAGATATTTTTTAACATACAAGAAAACATTGATTGTGAAAAGTCCATATGACAAATAGGCCACCAGCAGGAGCTTGTTGAGTACATGATACCTAAGTATTTACTGTAAGAATACGATTTAAAAGTATCGGTTTTTAATTCATACCAAAATGGCAAATAATACCAACCAATCACACATTTCTGTTCAGTTACTACATATCAATACTTTATTCCCAGCATTTTTTGATTCTTTCATTACTTTTTCACAGTAATCACTGCCAAAAAATAAACTTTGAAGTAGACGTCAGTGTTTGGTATTTGATTAATTTAGTCTTCCATTAATGCAAAATTAGCAAAAATATCATCAAGTATTGTTATTTCATTCAGTGCTAAATTGCCAAGCTTGCATTAAAAAAATACAGTGAGAGTGTCTTATCCCACCAACATATATCAAGTCAACGCTATTTCTAGTCCTTCTGCTTTTTTTTTGAAGGACTTTGTAAATTTAGCATGCATTTTAATTGCTATATTGCATGGCTCATTTTTTTAGCTATAAAAAGAGTACTGAAACAATGATAGACATTATTTCCAACTATCTGTCTTTTATTCTTTCAAATACTTCGTCCTCCGCTAAAGGCTTTGAAATTTTCTATATCGTTGCTTTAGACTGTGCTTAACATTTTTTTTATTTCCTTGCAGTTTTATTTTCATAGTTATCGCATTTACGCTTATCTGTTCATTTATAAAATAGATAATAAGAATGTATGGTACAAAATTTGTGTACTTGCTGACTATTTGTTCAGCAATTGTTTTCAATATTTATGTATGAACATCATTTTCTTCCCTGTATTTTTTCATATTTCATATTGTTTCAAGAAGCAATATAAATTAAAGTTTAATTTCATACTATTCAAGCTAGAAAATTATTTTATCTGTGATCATAGCTCATTTTTGACTTATGTTTTTAGCAGCAGTATGAAGCAGATTTTTTCATAATAATGCTTAGAGAAAATTCAACATCTTACTATTTATTGTGCTAGTTTATAATTTAGCATAAACTTCAAAAACAAGATAAATTACCTCACATCAAATTCTCATGAAATCAATCAAAAATTCTTTAAAACTTTTCTATTATTTTTGTAGGTGCCATCCAACTAAATAATTGCACAGAATTTTATTTATTGTATCTCACCATTTTTGTTTAGTTCTAGATATCAGATATTTCAATATTACTAAGCAAAACAATTAATATAATTTACTTCAAGCGAACAAGACATCAAAATTTGACTTCATATTTATCCATAAAATCCACATTTTTTTAGTTTAAGGTATGCTTTTATAATTATCAATCACTTGTAAATTAATGCAAATAATAAATGTCTTCTGCATTTAAAATTCAGTATATATATGTAGCTATTGAGTTGTATTTCAGGAAAAAATTCATTATTGTGAGCGAGATTTTCATCTGTTGCAAGATTAGTAAAAAGATATGCACAGCTGGGCTTTTTACGCGATTTTCGTCTGGCTGATAAATTTTTGTTTGCCCTTATCAAACGCAAATTTAAGTCTCTTAGATGGTACCATATTCATGATACAACTTGCATAGTGTATATCATGTAAATGACTAATGTTACAAAATGGAAAAGTTTTCTGTGGATTCAAACATTTATGGATAACTTCACCAAAATATTTATTTATGGGGCAAGAATTATGTTTAGAACATTATTTAAAATATTGAACAAACTTCAACAGTAAGTTATGTAGAAATTTCGTTATTTGGAACTTTCATGGTATTTTATATTGATTTCTTGTGCCATTGTAAATGCAACAATAAATCAGAAATTTAAATAGTATCATAGTAAATAGTATCATAGTCATTTGAATTGCAGATAATTCGATAGAACGACATTGGCTGCTAGTACCATCGTACTTGATCCAAGATATCGATGATGAGATGTATTGGAATCGTCTTAAACGTGCTGCTTTTCGACTCGGAAAGAAATCAGTTGATATCATGAAAAAAGCAAGAATGCGACTTGGTTGATTTGTTCTAATCACAAAAGCTTTCTTGTTTATTGAAAATAGTGATAAAATTAGCAAAATTTCCGTAATTTATTGTTGTTTGATTGAAACAGACTCTTTCACCACTAATCACATTTGAAATTTTGTAGCTAACAACTTTACAGTATACTATTTGATAAAGACAATACTTTGTACCAACTTTAAAGTCCTCCATTCTTTCATTTTTTTTTTTGAAATTTCACAGATTTTTAGTTTCTAAACCATACATTGTAAGCAGACAGACACGGCAATGTCAGCGGTGAAAATTGCTTCAAAATTTTTATTCCGAAATATTTGATAAATATATTTCAACCGAATGAAATGGAATTAGACATTATTTATTCTCTCTCTTTTAAAAGTAAGAATCATTTATGAAAATTATCTATAAAATTGTCCTATCATTTTGCTTAAACGAAACTTTAGAATTAACGCAATTTGAGAGTAACTGTGAAATTCTACTCATCCCCATGATATAAATCCTTGAAAAATATAGTTTCACAAAGTCATATTTTTTGTCTCCAAATGGAGAACACGTATAATTGAATATTCTTTAAAATAAATTATGTACTTATAGTTGTTGGACATTGTTGCAGTAATGTTTACTAAAATTTAAGGCACCAATCAGTAATATTTGCCAAGAAAATTCTCTATTGAATAGAAATGCGTATCCCTTTGCAGTACATTAAAAAGTTTTTAAATTTTTATTCGTTTCAACATTTCAAAATGTTATGCATAAATTTTCTACGAATCAAAATTAAATTAAAAAGAAAAAAATAAGTGAATTTTGAAAATCAACATTTATGATTGCGTTAAATATAATTTACATAAATTTATGCATCAGGCATGGAAGTAAGATAAACATTGTAAGTAAGTTGCGTACTAATAAATTCGATTATTATTACGATGGAGAGGAGAATTCATTCATAATTATATGCAAAAGATAGAAAAAAATAGAGAAAGAAAGGACAAGATTATATCAAAAATAAGATTATATCAGATTGTCAAAAACAACAAATCTTACTACAGTAGAGGAGAAATGCCTTTGCAACTTATAGTTTTTGTGCTTGAATTTCTCGCTTTATTTTCAGAACTTTTTTTAACATACTAACTTACGGATAAATGCTATTTGTTAATTTAAGAGGACTAATTTTCAGTTTTTGATTCCATTCAGTTTTACTCAAAATTATGTTTCTTTGAAAATTTTGTTAATTTTAAATTATTAAGAGACAGTATTAAACTTTCTGCGTTATACTTCTTGGAATTTCTCATCAAGCCAATCATACTATCACAAACTATGCATACAATAATGATGTTCATTTTACCAGCTGAACCAAATTACTGCTCAAAATTTAAGTTACATATAACTCAAAATATTTTGGACCGAAACTTGACAAAATTCATTTCAGACTTTGTTAAATTTTAATCTGAAATAGTCAGACATATTCATTTCGTAGCAACTTGCAATAATTGAATAAAGTTTGTGTATTTGGATGAAATATAATTTGTCAAAAATTTTATGAGAAATAATCATAATTCAAGAATACCTACAATGTTGAAATCAACTTTATAGCTGATGCAAAAACCAGCTTGAAATCACTTCTGCTAAATATATATACAAAGGATTCAGCATTGCTTTAACTTTACGTAAATGATCGGTTCCAAGCAACTGGTGAAAAATTACAGTACATTACTAATTTACAATGAAAGCGCAAAAAACAATTATAAGTCTGATATTTTTAATCTCAAGTTCATATCTAGTATACCTGTGATATTCTTAGATTTTTATTTAAAAAAAAATTAGTTCTATCTGAAGTTTCTAAACTTTAAAAGTTATGATTAACAGTTCTTGAGCTTTTTTCTAATAATTGAAGAATGATATTTTAATAGCGAAGCTTCAGCTAAAAAAGGAGTTCGAAAATTAACATAAACACTAGTTTCAAAAAAACAATAGTACTAATAATTTTTTAATCTGTAATTAAATTTTTCAATCATGATTAGGGTTTTGAACTTTGCCAAGTACGAAAAATTAAATTGTTCAAATTGAAGAATATTTTACGCATAACGCTAGCATTTCGTTTTTTTTTAATCTCGACTATATCAAATTTGTAATTAAAAACTATTTATACACCAATAAATTAAAAAAAAAATTAGAGGAAATATAATTTGGTTTCGTCCTAATTGAGAATTTTTTACTCCATTTTGTCATGACAAATTAAATTTTGAAACGACCACAAAATTCCTAATGTATTACTACATTTGTGCTTTTCATATTTCTCGTCTTGGATTATCTCTTTACAGTTTGTGTCACTGTGAAGTTTAGCTTAAAAAAGTACAACATCTTGAACTGTTTACAAAATTCAATTTCTTTAGTGCAGTAATTTTTGTGTATTTCATTCAACAAGAATTGGCACTTGATGTAAAAGCTTAATAACACTTAGCAAACGTTAAAAATATCAAATTTTATGATAATAAGAAGAACAATTAAAACTTAATTACCGCGTTTTCTAGCAAGGAAATGAATTAAAGATATATGTTATGTTCGTAACAAACGTTCATGATAAATTGATTAAATTATATAAAATTTGCCGTGGTTACTAGCAGATTTCAGAATCACAGAGCTAATGTTGTTCAAAAAAGTAAAAATATTTTAACAAATAAGGAATAGTCTATTTTGTGAGTTAGCATAAAAATAGTATTCATGTCAAAGCTATCTATCACTGGTTGTTCAGTATTAATCAGCTATACAAGTTTTTCGAAATAAAATAATTGCATTGCTTTGACATCTTAATTCGTTTCATTAATTTTACTTCAGAATTAGCTTATTTTTGAGATATTCTTGAAATGTAAAGAATTTGACTTATTACTGAGCATTGTAATTTTTCAAATCTCTGAGAGCGCAATCATGAAATTCTGATCATTTTCTTTTTAGTTGTTGATATTTGTCCAGAATGAAAAATTTTGCATTCTTCATTGTTTAGAATGCCTTCAAAAAATTTCGTTTTGCTTAAATTTTCTAAAAACTTTAATCTCAGCTTTTTAAAAAAATGTAATCATATATATAACTTCATAGTTTTGATTTCTAATTTTTACACCTTTTTTTGTGTACTCTCGTGAAAAGTGTCGCAGTGGAAAGGGTTGGGAGGAATATGGTGGTAAAAACAAATAAAATTACAATTTATTGCGATGCGAATTCATTCGACGATTCAAATGAACTAATTTGGGGCATAGAATTTTCCCAAATGCTCGACGGAATTCCATATTTAATATGCCGTAAAGGAATGGATTGAGCGATGAATTTATATATCCAAGCCAAACAAATGCTTGCATAATCTATAAATCAATTTATATTAAGTAACCTATAATAAAAAGTTTCTTCAATATTTTTTGTCCTTTTTGATCTCTAAGATAATCATCACTAATCAAATATTTAATTGATACTACTAAAATCCTTTGTTTTCTAAAACTCACATTTAAAAAATAGATCAGAAACAAAATGTAAAATTTTAGAGGAATTAAAAGAAAAGAATGAGAAGTTTCTAAAAATTTGATGCAAGCACGCTCTCATTAAATAATTAAAATCATATACTTGAATTAATATATTTTAACTTTTAATAAAAATTATGACTAATGAAGTATTCTTTTTTTTATGGTTTGTTATTTATTTCATTACTGCTTTATTATTTTCTAATTCTGTTAAATTTCAATGCTGAAATTAAGTCGTCTTGCAGTTGAAAAAAAAACCTTTGGATGAAGGTAGCAAGAATTACAAAATGGTAATATAACATAAGCGGAAAAAAATGGAAGCCAACAAAATGAAAATACAAAAATTATGACTGCAATAGTTTTTGCGGCCCGTTTTTCTTTAGATACACTAATTTGCGCACGTTGCCTTAAAGCATTTGTTGCGTGCTCCTAAAAAAATGAAAATTTTTACAAATCTTAGAGAGAGTGAGCAAATTCTGTTATCAAGCAAGAGCTTTAGAAGTTGACAAATACTGCTAAGAATCTTTAATTTGATATGGAATTCGTTTACTGCACCAAATCCCTTACTAATTAAAAATATTTCTGCTTTTTTTTCCAACTTTCAAATAATTAAGCAGGAATTATAAAAAAAACAATAGCTTAATTCTTTTTTGCCACCAAAAATTAATTTTAATCACCTTTGCTCCATCATTCAGTGCTTTAGTCGCAAGTTTGTGGTCATTTGAAATAGTTTCACTCCGAGGAGTACTTTGTGCTGCTACCTACAAAATTTTTGCAATATTTTAAAAATTTTATATTAGCTATGAACTCCTTTATCAAACTCCATCAAATAATTTCTATATTTAAAATTTTGAAATTTTTCAATTGGAAAATTTTTGAAATTCTGTTACTGATGTTGCTTTCAAAATAATATTTTTTTAATCTTAATTTATAAACAATGTTTCCATAATTTCAAAATAAAAGATAATTTTTGCACGAATCAAATGGAGTTTGAATGCTTTAATTTGTGTCGAATACAAATGAACAAACTTATTAGGCAATGATATTTATATTAAACTAAAATGATTATTGTAGATGCTGAGTGCTTATCAGTATAGTCTTTTTATATTCGTCCACTATTACAAATTTACATAAGTTTTTACATTTTTAAATTTTTACTTAATTTCAAACTTACCAGTCCAGGAAATGCATTAAAATTGTTAGCTGAAACGAGTGCCATATTTTCAAATGCTCGAAGATTAATCCGATGATTTGTAGGTTGCCTCCTCAAATTTTTACTCATTCCTGATAGCGCACTTCGATCTGATAAGAATATTATATTTAAAAAAATCGTAATTCAACAGTTTAAGCGTCAAAAGTGTGACGCAAAATTAGCGGAGAAATAAATATTGGCAAAAAAAGTAATTTTCTAATTTCTTATAAACTGCAGTAGTTTAATATTGCAGTTTTTAACTCAATAAAACATTTCGAATCATATAAGAAAAAGAATAGAAATAGATAAAATAAGGGTCGGAGCTAACTTCGATTTGTTCTGATCCTTTGACGAGCAGCCAAAAATATTTTGACATAAACAATCACCATAACCACAAGGGGTACAAAAAATGAGCCACTAGCCGAGTAAACAACAAATGCTTTCTCGGTTGTAAGCTCACAATGTGTTTTCAAACTTTCACCTGACCAATCATTCCAACCAATAACTGGAGGTACACTTATACATGCACTTGCAAGCCAGACCTGTAAAATAATAGACTGAAAATATGATTTATAATCATTCAGATTGAAGAGTCAAAAAATTGCAACGGTTATCAATAATATTTCTTTATGATGTTGCTATTTTCTGAAGCACTCTAAAATTTAGATAAAAATTTCAAGCTCTTGTGAATATGTAAATTATATGTATAGAAAGAAGATGATAATTAAAAGGTGAAACGAAATGAAAGAAATAGGAATAAAATTTGAAGCAGTGAATTCTTACATCTGTTTTCAAGAGAAATTTCAAGAAACTACTCGATTTGTTTGAAAGTTGAAAGTTGAAATTCATGTTGTTGCTAATGAATTTGTTTGTTAATTATGTTTGCTGAGTGAATTGAATGGCTCAAACTTTGAAGTAAATTGAAAAATGTGAAAATAACTTTCGTTATTTTTATTAAGTGAAAGTAAAATGGATACCACTGCAATTGTTTGACAAACAAATTTTAATGTCCTTTTATGAACATAATTGAGTGGATCATGAATGGCCCAATAGCGATCCAGTGCAATGGCACAGAGGTTTAGTATAGATGATGTACAAAGCATTATGTCAGCTGTTGTGAATATATGACATAAAGTCATCCCTAGTAACCACTGCCCACCTAAAACAAAATGAACAATACTAATATTCAATTTAATCACTGATATCATCCAAATCTCATAAAGTGGATCAAGATAGTAATCACTTTCCATATGGTCTTGAGTATTTTTTTGGATAAATATTTAAGCTTATTTTCATTTATTCCTTCATTTGTTTGCAAACTATGTTAACAAAAATTTAATAAATTTGATGCCAATTTAATAAATTGATTCAATCGATCTAGTTTATTGCGTTGTCATGATTATATCACGCAATGTTTTTCCCAAACTTATTTCAGAATTTCCATAGTGTATTTCATACTCAGACATTTTGAAGTCACAAATTGTGAAATCCACTATCAAATTATCAAGTTTGCATCAGTAATAGGTAGTTAAAATAATTAGTGATATTTCTCATTTCTAAAACTACAGAATTTAGTTGGCGTGATAATATCTTTTTGCTCATAGCCAGTAGAGCAAATGGTGAAAACAAAAGGAAAATGAAGTCAAATTACTGGAATACAATGGATATAAATAATTCACATATGTCAATGACATGACATGATAATATTGTTTTCTTCATTAAATTTTTTCTAGCTTATTCCAGTTTTTTCAACATAACTAATATTCAAATGAGTGTAATTTATCACAGCAGCTCTCAAAGTTTTATATTTCAAACAAGATTAGAGATTTTCTTCTCCACTTTCAGACACAAACTCTAGATATTTTTTAAAATAGGTAAAAAACCTTTTCTCTTGTACCAGCCAGACATACTGAAATTTTTTTATCACGTAAAAAATTTGACTCTGCAGTCATGTTTTCAAATCTCAAGTTGCAGTAATTAATTCTCCGCAAAACTATCAAAAATAAGCAGATTTATAGCTTATCGTAGAATGGACGGAATAAGTCCCATTAAATAACAATAAATATAATAGCAAATTTTTGTATCAACGATTTATATTCTTCACTTTATATTTGCTTATTATCATTTTATCGGCAAAAAAAAGTTAATGAAATAAGAATATTGAATGATTGCTTCACTTTGTGATTAACTGTTGGTCATTTTTCCTTTTTTATTTTTTCATATTTTTTAAAAGTTTTCTTTTGCACAGAAATAATCGTCATTAAAAAGTTAAAAATATTGATTATTGATAGTACTAAGTGTGGTAAAAAAGAGTATTTTTGATTTAGTATAGTTGAGGCCTTTTAAATATCCATCAAAGTTAAGAGGCGTAGGGGTTAACTTTAGTATTTATTTTGTTCAGACACTGAAAAAAAAATTATGCGAAGTTGAGTGCCATGGAATAATATGGGCGCAAAATGAAAATTTTCAAAGATTCAAAGAATTGCAACAAATACACGGAGCTGAACAGATTTGGAGCGTTAATAAAATGATTTTAAAAACCTGAAAGAATTTGATCAATTTAAAAGTTTGTGTTGCTTCAAGTTTTGACTTAAAAGTAGAAATATAGTTCAAGCTTAATCTTATTCGTGCCATCTCATAAGTAATTGAAACTGTAAATAAAATTTTCTCATTATTTTAAACAATAAGAAGTGTTAGAAAGAATTTGAAATCAACATAATGTAGCCAATCTAAAAAAATGAAAACAATGAAATTTTGCTTGAATTCATTATTTCGAGACACAGAAGAAATGCTTATTTAAGCCTAATGAAGAGTCTAATATTTTTGATGATTGAGCTGAATTAAAAAATTTTGCTGTCAAAAAAAGTTACGAATTTAGATGCATTAAAGGTATAAATATCTCATTAATAGATTTGTTTAAGTAAAACGCATTCTTTCGAAAGATTATTCATAAACTATTTTCTCATTTTAAAAATTCTGACTAATTCGTTGGTTATAATTATCTGCTTTTTAATCGGATAAGATAGACACTCATTTCTTTTCCTCCGGTTGACTTGAAATGCCTTCGAAAGAATGTTTGATGGCCTTATTGATATTTATTTAAAATTTTGCATTAACCTCATTTGCAATAATTTGTGAGTAAATGGACTATACAGCTAATTTACATATTTTTTGCAACCTGTGCTACTGATTTGTAAAATCAGTATTATCTCTTCAAGTTTCATTTTATTTTTTGAATCAAATTCAGATGCAGATGTAACCTTTTACTCTCCATCTATCTTATGATATAAGAATTTTTTAGATTTCGGTTTTTCACTTACTCTGTCACTAAAGAATGATCTTTGAAACTTTTTTTTTTGTAAACTAATAATTAAAAAAAATTATAGAATAAACTTACCAGCAATAAATTTGGCAACATGAAGAGGCATGACAAAAGTTGCCACGCATAAATCCGATGCTGCAAGAGATACTAAAAAATAGTTCTGAGCTTTTTTAAGTGGACGATAGCTAAACACCGATATAACTACTAGGGAATTGCCAACAATTGTTATCACAATTATAATCTGTAAATGGAAATTCAATCACTGCACAAGAAAAGCAGGAAGAATCAAATTCAAAGCACCAATTAAAGCTGCAATGACAATCGTAAGAACATATCTTTTAGCTCTTTAATTGTTTTTTACCATTATTTTATTAAGACAGAAAAAATACAGCATATCATTTAATAATCATTTGAGAAAGCAAAAATAAGAATTTATAAATATCTTCAAAATTTTCATTTATTCAAAGGTCAATTAAAAAAGTATTTCATCTTCAGTTGAGAATGTTTAATGATTAAGAAATAACTTTGATCCACATATTCCAAAAATTATTTCCTCTTCTTTTCTTCTCACTAGAACTTTTTTAAAATTCTCATAAAAGTTTTTAAATATTTTCGAACTTAAAATTTTCGTGAGATTATATTTAGAGTGTTCTCATTCATAAAGCAAACTTTGAATATTTTAAGATGTTATTTCATTATTCAGGATTTTTTTTTGTTTAAAGTCCAAAAATATTAATTGTAAATACCTTAATTATTTTTTATTTATAAGTTTGATCAATGCAAATTTAAATTTCTCCTTCATCTTAGCCAAAATATTTTACTTGATAAATATCTCACAATTTGATATGGTTTCAAAGCAATACTATTGAAAAAATGCACCACCTCTCTATAAAACTGAAAAAATTATTCAGTTAGCACATTTGTTCTTTACTTGAGTTCTTGACGAAATTAAAAGCAGTATGGTAAATTTTCAAAATCAGAAATAAAAAACTTACTATGTAAGTTACAGTCCCAATGATTAACTCAGCAACTGGGAGATTTCGGTAGTCCAAGGATTCTTGGTATGGTTTCTGTGTATGATAGAAGGAGCGTAAATTCCATTTTGGATTAGAGTCGTTCAGTTGCAGATTAAGAATGGATGAATTAAAAAGTTGTTCTTGAAGTGACAACATCTTAGGGATAACCATCGATGATGTGTGTAAGTTACTTGCTACACAGTGGACTTTTTTTCAAATTAATGTTGAAGTTGAAAATCGAATATGCTACACGTCGCATCAGTTATACTATGCAATATTAGCAGATAATGTCAGAGCATTCAGTTAAATTTATCACCATGAAAATAGCATTAATGATGTGCAGTTTAACTTGTTTTTTATCTTAAATATGGAAAATGCATTTATTTCATTTCAGTTTTAAGTTAAATTTTCCGCAAATACTGCTTGGAAATTCGGAATTAAGTATGCAAAAATCGTATTACAATTTTTTGTATCATATCTGATGAATGATCAAATTCAATTAGATGCTTAGTATTTAAGGGTAATCAACCACATGCAAAAAATTTTTATTATATATTTTTGCTCTCTATTATATTTATTAACATGTAAAACTTGTAGAACTTGCTAAATTACGAAAATTAGAGAAATTGTATTAGGTAATCGACGGCAGTAAGACGTATTTTTGTTTTTGTTTACTTGATGAAATAATTGTAAACATAATTTATTTGCATTCATTTTTTTTTTGATAATAATTAATAGTGAAATTTAACTTTTTATTATAATTATTAAATAAAAACGAGAAAGAATAAAATGTACAAGTAGGAATAAATCTTAATTAGAGAAGTAAGAAATCTAAAGCTTTCATTTCATGTCCAAGTATAGAAATGAGTAAAGAAAGTGTGCATATCTTTTTCAAATTTTTTTCCTACGCTTTCATATGCATATATATCTGTTGCTGCTAATATATTTTTTGAATAGGCTGAGTGATTCACTGCTTATCTATTTTCCTCGGCAAATACTCGCTAAATCTCTCTGAGCATTTCAGTAAATAAATACTACTGATGGAAAGCATTGACACGAAAAAAGGTAAAACTTTTTCTGAAATAAAGAAACGTGTACAGAATTATTTCTGGAATTTTTTGCTACCCCTGCTGAATTATTTAGCAGCTCATGTAAATAATATGAAACTTTTATTCAAAAGCAATGCTTAAATTTTTCATTCATAACGAGAAAAATTAATATGTTTCATCAGTAAATAAATCAGCAATAAAAACTTTACATGCATGATGTACTTGACAAGTTTTGCATGGCTGAAAAAAACAGACATCACGTAAAATAATTTGCTCAAGTTATTACAGCTTGCTTACTTTGCTCTTAATATTACTTAAACATAAAAAATGCAATAATAGCAAAATAATTATTGATATTTCAAGTTAGTTAGTTGCTGATTTGTTTTTGTTAAAATAATAAATGCATTAATGAAAAGTGTATTTAAATGAAAAATAATAGCAGTGTATTGAGTTTCAACAGGTTTCCGTTTTTCAGTCAAGTGTTCAAGTTAAAAAAGTATTTTTTAGTAATTTTTCACTAAAATATGTTCAAGTCGAAAAAAGGAAAAACAGGAGAAAGGATAAAAAACTAAAAGTTCTTTCATTTGTCCATCTATAACAACAGTGATATAAAAAGCTTGAAAGCAATAAAGAAATGAAACTGTCCGAATTCTATTCATTAACATCTCTATCTCTTCAAAATATGACTACTGATGAAACAAAGAATCACAGAAATTGCAATTTAGCTCTTTTTTCCTTACTTGCATTAATATTAATGTATTTTCTCTAAAACTGTTCTAAACATTGAGCATTCCATGATAGAAGTTAAAAAATATTTTAGACTCTTTAATTTATGTTTTACTTGTAATTCTGAGATTTTCAGATGATATATAAAGATTGTAAGGGAAGAAATTTTTGCCAAGTTAACATTCAAAGAATCATTTTCTGTTCACACTTTCGAATATTACTAAAGAGTAGAATAAAAATATGATGTTGAATCCTTAACTGTGTTACTTAATGAAATTAATTAAAACATGATTGAAATGTTTTCAATTTGCATTACTACAAAACTGATATAGTCGATGATTTTCTGACAATGTAATGAATATAGTTGTATAGAATGATTAAACTGCTTTTATATGCTCAAACACAGAAAAATGCAATTTTGTTAAGCACAAAAAAGCAGGTCAATGTGATTTAAAAATATGGTTTATTTAAATTATAATTTACACGAATAAGTAAATTTGCAGGTAAAAGATTTTTCATCTTATAAAAGATGAGATTAAATTTCAAGTATACATTAAAATTATGATTCATCATATGAATACTATCAAATTAGTTAAATGATAAACGAGTGATGATTGATTTATCCGTTAAAATTAAAAACATATTTCTTAGAACTTAGTATCACGTTAAAAACAAAAACTTCCACATCTTTCGACAAATTATTTATGATAAAAATATCGCTTCGTTAATGAACGCAACAATTATGAAAAATGATTTACAGCTTTTGCTGATTTAACAAGCATCCCTACGATAAAATTAATTCTTTTCCGATAGAAAAAAACGAAAGGGAAAGATAGATATCACTTCTGGCAAAGCAATGAGATTAAAAACAAGAAGTAGCTTATATAATACATTTATTCCATTTATGGAGTGAAACTTTTACAGTGCTTAAATGAATAGAATAATTAGTGAATTGTTACGACCAACAGCAGTGCTTGAATTTAATTTCCACTTTCTCACTTTTTCCAAAAAAATCTAATCACATAGTTGAAATTAATAAGGTGTAAGTATTATCCTTATTTTTATCACTTAATTAGAACCTAATATCTACCAATTAAATAACTACTTCTTTTTACTCATTATCTTCATTATATTTATAGAATATGAAAGTAATGAAAATAACGGCTTTGCCGAGTTGCCGAGCGGTAGAGCTGCCAGCTATTTGATCGCATTATAAAGCAGGAAATGGAGGATAAATGGAAAAAAATCGAGCTTGGAATCATATATTAAAGCAAATGGAAAAAGGCTGTTGAATAAAGCTCCGTACAGGACATGGGAAAGCACAGTGTGCAAAAACCACCAGAATTGAGTGCCGGAACACGAGATCCAACACCAAAATTGAGAAAATGGTGAAAAAAATTAAAAAAAGATTAATCTCTGACCTGCTGCACATGATTATATATATAGCGCTAATTTTTGTAAAGATTGTCCTTAAATACGTATGCCAATAAAATTTGTTGTGTCTGAAACGTAATCTTGTTCTTCTACACACTGTTTTTGCAAAACTTATTTCTAACACCTTAAATTTCTAATGCAAATGAAAAATTTTTGTTGAATAATCATTACGATACCTTATATTAGAAATTGTATATTTTCAGCAAATGAAGTCATCCGGTACGAAATTTTCATGAAATGACCTTAGCAATACTGAAAATTAAAAAAAATATCCAAAATTCCATCACATGTAACTAAGTACTCACGTACTCTTGGAAAAAAAATTATAATTAGCAAAAAATCATTCAGTTCTTGAGCTTTGAATAGCAGTTGAAGTTAGCTTTACTCAATCTTGCATAGCTATTCATCTAAATACAGCATGAAGTAAAAAAATAGAAGTATAAATTGATTTCGTATTCAAAAACTGCTAAAATTTTTGATAAAATTGCATGTAGCGCGATTAATAATCAGTAGCTTACCAAACTTTACAAGATTGATTGAGTAAAGCTTTGTAAGTGCAGAAATAAGATTATTATGCTTAAATGCTGTTGTTTTCAATCAACATATTTTCAATAAATTAGTAGCACTTATAATGATCAAAAATTTGTCCCAACGTTTGCTGAACAGAAAAACTAGTTGCTAAGATTATTTCAACTTCTGTATTTCAACAAGTAATGTTGGAAAATTAAGTGAAAATAGTGATCAAGATGTGAACATATAATTAGCAAAAAATCATTCAATAGCTGCAAAGTTTATCTTTTTAATCAGAGATAAACCAAAACTGAAAGCCGAAATTAACGAGGAAAGTGTCATGTCTTTAGATTCTTTCAAAAATTTCTTTCTCAGTCTACAAATACCGAGTGATATTTGGTAAAAGAAGGTGTGGCAAATCAACGCTAAAATAAAAAAGTAGAATAATTAGTGTAAGCTACTGGTGAAGCAAAGAGATACGATTTGAGCGAAATCTAAAGGTTCATAGGACTAAGTAAGACGACCCTTTTAAAGACTAAATCTTTGCAATAAATAATCTCTTGAAAGCAACTTCAGTGATCAATGACAGCAAGGCAAATCGTGACATTTTAACGACTACGAAAAAACCGATCACTCAACGAGTAAAGTACAAGTTCTCCGCATTTCAATGCTTTCATAAAAACTTCAATAAATTAATTTGAGTTCATACAAAAAAAATATCTTAAAATATTAATTAAGTGAAAATATATTATTTTGACCCTACTTTCTCATTTTTGACATTTTTTCACAGATGCCAACTTTATTCAGAATCAACAGAATCAAGTTAATTTCATGGCAACCGTTAAAAAATATTTTTTCAGTTCTAGAAGCTAAAAATTACTTCAAGACTAGACATATTAGTTATTACTTCACGAGATTATACAATTTTAAGAGTTGGACGCAGCAAAAATAACAAATTTTATTAAATGATTAGGCCTCATCATGGAATAATTTTTTCCTTTTGTAATGCAAACTTTTTTTGCTGTAAAATTATGTGGCATTATTAGTTAGAGAATGATAACTTGGACCGATAACAAATATATTTATATTTAATCATGTGGAGCAGGTCACAGGTTAGTCCTTTTTTTTTCAGTCTTCTTGATTCTCTCGTTGGAACATGTTCCGGAACTCTCGCTTACTCATCCGGCACTCAATTCTGGTGGTTTCTGTACAGTGGTGGAGTGCTTTCCCATGTCCTTTACAGAGCTTTCTTCAACAAGCTCATCTGCTTTCGATTTGTTTTCATCTATGATTCCAAGCTCTATTTTTTTCCATTTCTCCTCCATTTCCTGCTTTGTAATGCGATTATATATAT